TGGCGGAAGGAAAGATGTGGGCTTGTGGGAGATGCAGGAGGGAGGGAGCGAGTGTACGTCTCTGTACATCACTCTCCAAGATGGTTGTACCAGATGACAACCAGCGCGCAAAATTTGAATTTTTGCATGGACACAAATTTGTATAAGCTGGGGAATAGGGGGCAGTGAAATTTTGCTCAAAGCTGCACTCTTCAGGCATTCCTCCTTATACATATCTAAGACTCGATGCCAAATTTGAAGCTGATATGTCGAGGTTTAGTCTGCCGCATTTTCTACTGAAATTTTTATATTTACCAACAGTACTAGCCAAACAGCTGATGTGGCGGTGCAATGTTCTGTTCAGTGTTTATCAACTTTTTTTTCATATCTCTTATTTCATTTAAGTTGTCTTGTTGTAGATGAGTATGGTGCTATGTCTATATTGATTATCAGCCTTTTCTCATTTCATTTCTCAATGCTGTGTTACTGTACTGTAATGTAGGGGAGACACCAGTTCACAGAACCGGACAAGACTCCCTACACTGGCTGCCGCTTGTGACCGATACTTGATTAGTGATTATGCTGGAGCTGCCATTGCTACTGCCACCTTAACTGACTATGGCATTATCACAAAGGATGACAAGAGTAAGGTTATTGGACCACATAAGCTGCGGGATGCGAGACAAAAATACCGATTTAAGAGGCAAGAAATTGAGATGGCTAGTTTAGATAATTTGACGTCACTCTATTTTGATGGTAAGAAGACCGCCACTCGTGTGATGATAAAGAATGAGAAGACCGAGAAATGGAGTTCGAGGATGATGGTGAAAGATCATTATGTCATCATGGTTGAGCCTGGCAATGAATATCTCACACATGTGACTCCCAAGACTGGACACGGAAAGCAGATTGCCAAAACTATTCACGAGTTTCTGGTGGAGAAAAATCTAACCCAGCAGCCCATTGTGTGTGTTGGTTGTGATGGAACCAATGTAAATGTAGGATCAGAAAATGGAGTCATTCATCATCTTGAAATGTTACTTGGTCACCCGCTCCATTATTTCATATGTCAGCTTCACGGAAATGAGCTGCCTTTCCGCGCAGTTTTTTATCACTATGATGGTAAACCAAGTGGTCCTGAGCATTGGCGTGGTCCCATTGGAAAGCAGATCAAGGAGTCTTTGTCTGAGCTTCCAGTTGTCGCCTTCCAGCCAGTCAGTTTCCCTGATTTCCCTGTGTTTAATGATGAAGTGGAGAAAGATCTGTCCTGGGATCAGAAATACCTGTATAGGATTTGTAAAGGAGTTATCACAGGTGTTGTTGAAGATGACTTGGCTGCTATTGAGCCAGGTCCTCCCTGTGTGTCAAGGTGGAACACCTTATGGAGTAGAATCCTCAGGCTGTATGTAGCAACATCAAGACCCAGCCATGAGTTGAAAAGAATTGTCATTACAATAATAAAGTTCAGTGCTCCAATGTGGTTTTACATCAAGATACACCCTTACGTAACACACGGCTCAAGGAACGTATTCCAGTCCCTGCTATATATGAAACACCTGAATAGTGAGGAGGAGACGATAGTGAAGAAGGCTGTCCAGAGAAATGCATACTTCGCCCACACAGATCAACTTCTTCTTGGTATGTGTGCAGATGAGGACATGACTGTTAGAGAAAAAGCTGTCTCAATGATAAGAAAAATTAGAGAGGAGAATCAGCAAAAGGAAGAATGCACTGGCAGATCTGAAGAGGAGGAGGAAGATTCTGATGCTGCTGTTGACGAGAATTTGTTAAACTATACTGATGAGGAGGGTAAAGATGGAGATGGAAATGAGGATGTGCCTCCTGTAGTCAACATGAGAAAGGTGGTGACTCCGAAACTAAAGTGGCAAGCAAAAAACTATCATTCCATGATTAACTGGAGGAATGAACTCAAGACTGAGCCTCCTTACATTGCTTCTCTGTCAAATCTACAGGTTAATGACATTCTTGAGACACCATTAGTGGTGCCCAAGTGGCCAAACAGCACTCAGGCGGTCGAGAGAGGCATAAAAGTGATGACTGAAGCTTGCACTGAAGTGACGGGATACGAATCGAGAGATGGATATATTAGGCAAAGATTATTGTCTAGGAAAATGATGCCAAGGTTCCGCACAAAATAACATGTGAATTAAATCGATGTCACCCATGTAAAATTTATCATTATCCTGGAAAACATTAAATGACACCTAATTTTTGGTATACACTAAAAGTTGACAAAAAGTCGTTCGCGATGCGGCAGGGTAAGCATGCATGAAATGGCATGAAATTTTGCACAGGTGTTTGTTATAGCCATACAAACGATGCCTGAAAAGTGCAGCCTGCAACTCAAATAAAAGTGTTTTTTCCCTGCCTCCTACTGGGGAATCTTCTGTATTTCGAAGTAGTGGTGTCAATTTAGGAGATTCATGTAAGCGAATTTTTGTATCTCGAGGGATATGTGTATCTATTATAGTCAGTTTTCTTTGCTTGTGTGGGATTGATCATAGGAGATAGAAACCCGGAAGATGATTAGGAAGAGAAGTGCTAGACTAGTGTAGGAAGTGGCAGGACATACACTGTATCCCAAATAGATCTTTAGCATCCATATTTATTCTCATTTTTCAGAAGAGGAATTGGTGCTCTTTCATGTTGAAGCGATAGTCTTCTCTGTGCAACTGTTGCATTATTTTGTACTGTCTTGTTTCTCCAACACTTATATTGGATCCTAGCTTTAATTTTATTGCAATACTGTAAAGTAAAAACCTCTGAAAACTAGTTTTCCAAAAACTGGATCCACATAAAGACTGGATATTTGACATTTAAAATTAACTTACATAAAATATTCCAAGCATGTACATCCAAATGCTACTACAGGGTACAGTACGGTACTTGTAATTCTCAAAATTTTCTCCTTAATTGTGTAGTGCTCTGATCCCCCATGCTTTCAGTCTCACGTTTACACTGGATTTTATTTATTTATTTTATATATATATATATATATATATATATATATATATATATATATATATATATATATATATATATATATATATATATATATATATATATATATATATATATATACATACATACATACATACAGGTACTCCCCGACTTACGACTAGAGACCGACATCCAGGTCGTAAGTCGGAAATGCTTAAATAACACAGAAAATCGAAAATTTGGGTCTCTTTTTCTTCTCAGCACCACAAAACACTCACTTTTAAGCTTGTCAGCCATTTTAAAGTGAACTACAGATGAAAATTTTGTCTGTGTACTGACTTTGGGCCTCAAAAATACATAATTTGACCAAATTTTGGTACGACTGAGGCAGGTTGTAAGTGCGGGTGGACATGAGTCGAGTCGGTCGTAAGTCCGACATAGATATAAAAAAAAAAATTAAATAAAAAATCTACAATGAAATACAGTACAGTAAAAGTAATAAATAATGAGGAATGGATACAGTACAGTGAAAGTAATAAATAATGAGGAATGGATAGTGTGACTGAGCACTTACCTTTAATGTAGTCAGCTGAATGCACATGGGGCCCCATAATTTTCTAATTATACATGGAGACTACATTAACTGAAAAAGTTTCGGTATAGAAAATGCGTAAGGCCATTTGAAGAAAAAAAAAAAAGGTCACAACTGCGGCGGTCGTAAGTCGAAGTAGTCGTAAGTCGGGGTCTAGCTGTATACACCTTGTTTTTGTACTTCTCCTTAGTCTGGTGGTCAGGTCAGATGGTCAGGTGAGAAGGCCGGGTCACCTGACCATCTGACCTGACCACCAACCGTTGTGTGCTATTTAAAGATTAGTAGGGTCATTACCTAATACCTGACCATTGTGGACCTGGTCTCACCCTCCTCTGTATATATACACCTTGATTTGTATTTCTCTCTCTAGTCTGTACTCACCCCTGAAGATGTGAATTACACGAAAGCGCTTGGGAACTTCGTGTTTTCTTCTTTCCTTGTGGTTATCAGCATATATATATATATATATATATATATATATATATATATATATATATATATATATATATATATATATATATATATATATATATATATATATATATATATATATATATATATACATACATACATACATACATACATACATACATACATACACATACATACATACATACATACATACATACATACATACATACATACATACATACATACATACATACATACATACATACATACATACATACATACATACAACATACACATACATACATACATACATACATACATACATACAAACAGATAGATAGATAGATAGATAGATAGATAGATATTTTGGGGGGGGGGGGATTTGGTTTTTATATAACTGCATTATTTTGCCCATTTTACACTCTTACAATGGCATCAAGAAGACCATCAACCAGTTCCCATTATATTGTTTCCTCAAAATGTTGACATCATTTGCTCTTAATTGCATAAAAATTGCAAATATCATGCAAGGTTATTGGTATGTTAGTCAAAAAATTCCCATACACCAAGGTATAAAATTAGCCAGTAACTTTATTTTTTATTGATATTATGCAGGTGTATAGGTAATTATTTAAAAAAGTAGCCAAGGAAAATGCCCAGCTGTCTTTCACCCTCAATAACTCTGGCTTCTACCTCGGCCCCTCAAGACAACCCACTTGCCCCTCACTTCTACCATTCATTCCTACAAATCTTAGTTGGAACTGGATACAAGGATGATAATTTAGTTGAGAATATGTTACATAAGAAAAAACATTTAATGTGTAAAAACCAAAGCAAATTGCATTTCACAATGACAGGCTGTGCAAGTAACTGTGCCCTTTGGCTGCTTGCTAATATATAATAGAAAGTTATTAGTTGTCTAGAAATGTATGAATTGTCAACAGCTGAAATCAGTGAGACTTGAATTTTTAAGTTTTTGGTGTACTTGCAATTTTTGCAGAGTATTTAATTTGTAGTGGTGTACAGTAGTTGATACTAATGCTGGTTTACTGTGCAGAGAAAAACTATGGATCAGCACGTTACCACTACCTACGGTCAGAGGATGGAGGGGGCTGTGCAAACATGCTGGTGGAGTTGCATTTATTAAGAGGCTACCCCTCAGAAGTGGATCTTTTCCTAACACAGGCTGTTCTCCAGTAAGTGTTGATATTCCATTTGTTTCTAAATATTTTGTTTAAATATTGTATACTGTATGAAGCATATCATACTTAGTTAACATGACAGTAAGACCAAGATGACTTCAATCAATTGGAGTACGTACTGTACTCATATCTGAGAGTTGGTGACCACAGTCCTCCACTCTAAACATTCCTGGGCTGTTTTTACCAACCCCCCAAGGTCTTGTATCTCTCTGGGGACCCAGTTCCCAGTTTTTTAATTAAATTTTTCCATCCCAGTCTCTGCATTCCCCTGGCCGTCCTGCCCTCAACTTTACCCATTATTATTTCTGTTATTAACCTATCATCCCTAATTTTATGACCAGAGTACAGTGACCCCTCTGTTAACGAACTCAATCCGTTCCAGAAGGATGTTCGTTAACCGAAACCATTGTTTCAATGGGTTTTTGGGTAATTGGTTCCAGCTCACCGAAAATTTCCTAAATTCAACAAAAATGGTAGAAAAGTTCACTTACTTTGAGGTGTGTATGTAGAAGGCTCCTGGATGATGATGATGATGATGATGGGATTTAGAATGGGGGTGGAGGAGAAGGAAAAAGAGAAGGCATTGGGGTGGAAGAGAAGTCACCCCATGGCGCCATTTCACCCATAAAATTTTAGCTCTCTTGGTGTAATTCAAGATTATTTTCTTTAAATCAACACTGCACTGCATTATATATTGTCAATATGTAAAATATATTTCAAAATGACCAATAATTTGCTTGGAAACACAGAAAAAAAGCATTTAGTTGAAGAGAGTCTCAAGCAAAATGTTACCTCCAGTGAAAACAGAGAGAGACTAACTCCTGTTGTGCTGTGTTAAGAGGCTGGATGCCACACATTAAACTAGTCACTTTACCTTCAGTTATGTTCAATAATTGTTAAAATGACTAAAAAATTGAATATTAAACTTTTAAAATTATTGAATAGTATAAACTTCTTGATATTTACTAAAATAGTAAGGAATTTAAGCCCTAGAACCGATTAATGTATTGGCGGACTGATACTAAAGCTGGTTGCCCGGTCAGTGCAAGCGAAAACATGTTGAGGTCGGTTGGTAAGAACTTCGTTAACCGAATTGTTTTTCGTTAACCGAATTGAAGATCCTTATGGAAGGCAGTTCGTTAATCGAAATTACGTTAACCGAGGTGTTCGTTAAACGAGGGGTCACTGTATATTATTTTTCTTTTTCTGTACATTTCAATATTTCTCTTGAAGTTTTTGCTAATTTTAGTACTTCTTCATTTCTTTTCCTGTCAGTGTAGCTTATTCTTAGCATTTGCCTGTAACACCACATTTCAAAGGCCTTCAAACTCTTTCTGGTGTCTGCTGAAAGTGTCTTGTATTCTGTGTTGAGAAAATTATTTGTCTGCTGTCAGTTTAAATGTGAAAATATCACTTCACTCTCACACTTGCTTTTCCCCACTTCCTATGAATGTATACAACATTTATTGCATAGTCTACTATTCTGACATCAGAAAACACACTGAGCATTGTACTTTAATTGTGGGGAGTATATAGATTTGCTCTGTATGCAGAAAGCAAATTAAACAATGCTAACAGGTGATGGGATGTATTGCAGGTACTTGTGTCTGCAGAAGAAGGTGGCAGCATCAGAAGTGTTTGAGACATATACCAAGAAGCACCCCAATATAACCAAGCAGCGGGGACCGCCCTTCCTACTCCCTCTCCTTAACTTCCTTTGGCTCCTTCTCTCTACTATTGAAAGGTCAGTTTCAAGAGCTTAATGAATTTATTGTACAGTAGTCTGATATTATTGTCAGCAGAAAGAAGTTCGTTTTCTGGTAGTAACAAATGGTTGATTCTCAACAGATAATTTATAGACTTTGTTGTTTATTATATTGTAGATTTTACCTTTTTTATACTGTTCTTATGTACTTTCCTTTTTCGTTTTGCTTCTGCCTCCCTGATAGTCTAATTGTTCTACCTGTATTTGCATCAGTTTGCTTTATAGATACTGTACTAAACAGGACTGACTGATTAAGAGAAGTGTTTGATCATCCATTGGTAACATTTGTCTTTATGGGGTTTTCCTCATGGTTATTCTTAAGTGTGGCAGATGACCATTGCCTCTGCTAAAGGCACAGTTCACATATGATTTTATTGGCAAGTTAAGACAGGATAAATGTATTTCACTCATATATGTTCGCTCACTTATGATCAGCCCTTCAATCCTAGGACACTGTATGTATGTAGGGTGCTACAGAACAACCAAGTGCTGATTGAATTCGTTTTGAAATGTCAAATTGAATAGATCCTTCACTCGGCTAGGGGAACAAGAATTCAAACTCATGATTTGTGGGTACGTAATTACAATTGAAATAGATTTAAGGAATATTAATTCTTAAGACTATCTTATAGCCCAAATGTTCACTGATACTTCAAACATGTGGGTAATTTAATTTGTATTGCTTATGGTGATTCATACATCAAAAGGAAAACAGAATCTTGTGGGTTACCTCTTTGTCACTTACCACTAACAAAATAGGATGTTACAAACTCAGATCCTTCTTTTTCCACTGGAAATTGTATGTTAAGGTTTAACTGTTATCTTGAACATTGTGCATTGCTGGTGATTGATATTTATACCATATACTGTATACAGTGATCTCTCGGTTAACGAGCGCCTCGGCTAACGAAATTTCGGTTAACGAATTACCTTCCATAAGATTCTTCACTTCGGTTAATGAGCAATCCCTCGATTAACGAATTCCTTACGAGCTCCCCTCAATATGTTTTCGCCTGCTAACTAGCTGTAGTATTAGTCCGCCAATACAGTAATCGGTTCTAGGACTTAAATTCCTTACCATTTTAGTAAATATCAAGAAGGTTGTGCTATTCAATCATTTTAAAAGTTTTATATAAAATTTTTTAGTCATTTTAACAATTATTGAATATAATTGAAGTACAGGAAACTAGTTTTATGCGCGCCAAACAGCCACTCAACACACCAAGCTTGGCGTCAGTTTGTTTACAGGTTCAGAGGAAGGAACATCTTGTTTGAGACTCTTCAACATAAACGCTTTTTTTTTTTTCTGTGTTTCCAATCAAATTATTGGTCATTTTGAAATATATTTTACATATTGATAATATGTAGCGCAGTGCAGTGTTGATTTAAAGAAAATAATCTTGAATTACACCAAGTGAACTCAAATTTTATGGGTGAAATGGCAGCATGGGGTGACTTCTCTTCCACCCCAATGCCTTCTCTTCTCCCTTCTCCTCCACCCCCATTCTAATTCCCATCATCATCATCAACCAGGAGCCTTCTACATGCACACCTCAAAGTAAGTGTACTTTACTGCATTTATTTTTCGTTTGTATGTAATTTTCGGTGAGCTGAAACCAATTACCCAAAAACCCATTGAAACAATGGTTTCGGTTAACAAATTTTTCGGTTAACAAGCAACCTTCTGGAATGAATTGTGCTCGTTAACCGAGGGACCACTGTACTTGAGTATACAGTGAACCCTCACTATGCGCGGTCAATTGAACCCACGGAGGCCCGCGTAAAGTGAGAAACGCGTAAAGTGAACAACATAACATATGGGATTAAATGAAATAGAGACCGGCTGACCCCCAAACTCCACTTTTTCCGACACAATACCTATGTTCTAGTAAAAATAACATCTTAATTTTATGATGGTACATGCACACAATTAATACTTAAGAGAAATAGAGAAATACAGTCGCCAAGTTAATGTCCATTCAAATAATGGACTCAACTCCCTCCCCCTCTTCTCACACTCCTGGCTCTTCACTCTCTGAAAAATGTTTGGGGGAAAACCACTAGATTTTAAGGTACAGTGACCCCTCCGTTAACGAACTCAATCCGTTCCAGAAGGTCGTTCGTTAACCGAAAAGTTCGTTAACCGAAACCATTGTTTCAATGGGTTTTTGGGTAATTGGTTCCAGCTCACCGAAAATTTCCTAAATTCAACAAAAATGGTAGAAAAGTTCACTTACTTTGAGGTGTGTATGTAGAAGGCTCCTGGATGATGATGATGATGATGGGATTTAGAATGGGGGTGGAGGAGAAGGAAGAAGAGAAGGCATTGGGGTGGAAGAGAAGTCACCCCATGGCCCCATTTCACCCATAAAATTTTAGCTCTCTTGGTGTAATTCAAGATTATTTTCTTTAAATCAACACTGCACTGCATTATATATTGTCAATATGTAAAATATATTTCAAAATGACCAATAATTTGCTTGGAAACACAGAAAAAAAGCATTTAGTTGAAGAGAGTCTCAAGCAAGATGTTACCTCCAGTGAAAACAGAGAGAGACTAACTCCTGTTTGCTGTGTTAAGAGGCTGGATGCCGCGCATTAAACTAGTCACTTTACCTTCAATTATGTTCAATAATTGTTAAAATGACTAAAACATTGAATATTAAACTTTTAAAATTATTGAATAGTACAAACTTCTTGATATTTACTAAAATAGTAAGGAATTTAAGCCCTAGAACCGATTAATGTATTGGCGGACTGATACTAAAGCTGGTTGCCCGGTCAGTGCAAGCGAAAACATGTTGAGGTCGGTTCGTAAGAACTTCGTTAACCGAATTTTTTTTCGTTAACCGAATTGAAGATCCTTATGGAAGGCAGTTCGTTAATCGAAATTACGTTAACCGAGGTGTTCGTTAAACGAGGGGTCACTGTATAGTAATAAATAATACCTCAAACTAAAGTTAGGATAATATAATTGACATTGCTGGATTCCTTGTAAGACCAGGAATATTTTTAATATAAATGTCATATATTTTGCACAAATGATAACATATTTACTCAGAGTAAACAAAATACTTAAAGTAGATGTAAAATTTGTATGTCTAATGCAAAATCTATGATGTTTATATTCAAAATGATCATCAAATTGTAAGAATTCCACCAATGTAAATTATATTCTGGCCGGGTAATTTGTATGAATTTTATGAGCTAAAACAAATATCTTCAGTTAATAAAAAAAAAATATTCTTCACGACACTATCTGTCAATCAAAGTACCCCACCTTGCCTCCCCCCCACCCTCTTCCAACCGAGCCAGATGGTCGGTCGGTCCCCCCCACCCCCCACCAACCCTCCCTACCAGAGAAATGTGTGGGAGAAACCAGAATATTTACCTTTTTAGTAATAAATAATACCTCAGACTAAAGTTAGGATAATTTAATTGACATTGCTGGATTTCTTGTAAGACCAGGAATATTTTGAATATAAATGTCATATATTTTGCACAAAAGATAACATATTTACTCAGAGTAAACAGAATACTTAAAGTAGATCTAAAATTTGTATGTCAAATGCAAAATCTATGATGTTTATATTCAGAATGATCATCAAATTGTAAGAATTCCACCAATGTAAATTATATTCTGGCCCGGTAATTTGTATGAATTTTATGAGCTAAAACAAATATCTTCAATTAATAAACAAAATATACTTACCGAAATACTATCTGTCAATCAAAATACCCCACCTCCTCCCCTCTTCCCACCTGCTCCCTGGGTCCCTCCCTCCCTCCCTACCCCTCACCCCACCTTCCTTCCCTACCAGAGAAATGATTGGGTTATAACAGTATATTTACATTTTTAGTAATAAATAATACCTCAGACTAAAGTTAGGATAATATAATTGACATTGCTGGATTCCTTGCAAGACCAGGAATATTTTGAATATACACTTCATATATTTTGCACAAAAGATAACATATTTGCTCTGAGTAAACAAAATACTTGCATTAGATCTAAAATTTGCATGTCTAATGCAAAATCTTTGATGCTTATATTCAAAATTATCATCAAATTGTAAGAATTCCAGCAATGTAAATTATATTCTGGCCGGATAATTTGTATGAATTTTATGAGCTAAATAAAAAAATTATTCTTCACCCGCGTATATGAGTAGATGCACCGCGTAAAGTGGGAATTCCGGTTCTGGCAGGGTACCGCGTAAATGTAGAAACGCGTAAAGTGAAACCGCGTAAAGCGAGGGTTCACTGTAGTTCAAGTTTTTATGGTAAAATTTGTATGTAAAAAGTAGGGGATTGAACTACACACATGTAATATTTTTGAGGTGTTAAAATTCATGTATTTTTGTGGATCATTTACAGTGTATGATAACTACCCAGTACATGTTCGTGATAGGCTAACCTTGCCAGTAAGCTCCTTTAACCTGGGCTTACCCACTGTCACCCTAGGTTCTTTCTTTAAGTTGCTACATGAAAATCGAAGCCTCATTATATATGTTGTTGTAAGTCTACAAAACCTGATACAAATGAAAATTTACAGATAATTTTGTTTTGTTTGCATCTACAGTAAAGCCTCAGATAACAACGATTCGTCCAACAACTTTTCGTATTTGAAACCCTAGATAATTTAGGACCCAATTCAGTTTACATCCTTATTTCATTAGTATTTATGACCAAAATATAATAAAAATAAAATAAAATTACATTTTCATAAAAATAACTAAATCCCGATATGTATTATAGGGTATATATAAAAAAAATTACTAAAAAAAATGAAGAGCGCCTTGCGCAAAGAAGTTGCCTGGCTAATGAGTGGTAAAATATAGTCAGAGCTTGGCGGGCCTTTTGTTTTCATGCATCTGGAACATGAACTGGAGAAAAAGTTTCTCAGGTTTCTTACAGCATTTTTGCATCCCTATTCAATATGAGCAAGTGATGATAGTGTTGTTTCAAAAGCTAATAGAAAGTGTCTAAGCTTAGCCGAGAAACTAGATGTGTTAAAACGATATGAAAAAGGCGAGAGGTCTGTGGATATTAGTATATGGAGCAAGCAATGAACATATTTTCTCAAGTGGATCCATTAACAGTACAAAGCATTAAAATTTAAATAAATGCAAATGACCTCTACATAAAAATGTAACAGGAAAAAAAAGCAGCTGTACAAGGTTCTTTGGACAGCTTTATTATTCAAAGGCCTAAACCATCAACTTCAGCTACACCATCAAATTCAGAATCATAAGCAGCTTCAACATCAACTTCAGGTTCAGTAACAGTTTCAGCAACAGCTTTATGGAAAGCTACAGCTTCAGCATGAGTTGAACCTGATGACTTCGTCATCTGAGTAAAAACTCGCACAATATTCATTGGTTGTCCTTATGAGCAGTAAATAAGTGTTGCTTTCATATTCTTACGTAGAGAAATGACGATATGTTTTCATATGTACGCACTCACATACATTGGCGTTCCCAATCGTCTCGCTGTATTTCTTTACTATTAGTGGTTAGCTACTTCTAGTGTTCATTTATTAACATTAAATAACATTACTTAAAACATACATACAGGTATTAAATTTTTTTACATTAAGTTCACTGCACCTACAACCAGGGTCTTATTTTCTTCAGTTTCTTCTGTAGAACCATTTTTTGGGGCCCCTACATCCTGTGCAAGGTGAAGCGCAGAAGCATTTACAGCGCCCAACAGGGAAGCATACTAAGTTCATGCTTGCCTTTATGTCTCATGAGTTAAGGGCGTAGAAGCCTGAAGAGTCATAGGTTTTTTTGTCAAGGGCGTAGAAGCCTGAAGAGTCACAGGTTTTTTTGTCAAGGGCGTAGAAGCCTGAAGAGTCATAGGTTTTTTGTGAAGGGCGTAGAAGCCTGAAGGGTCATAGGTTTTTTGTCAAGGGTGTAGAAGCCTGAAGGGTCATAGGTTTTTGTCAGCAAGTTATTGGAAGCTCCAACAACCTTCCCTGAATACGAATTCGCAACTTTTCGATTTACAACAGGTACCTACTTTACTGCTAGGTGAACAGGGACCAAGGGGGCTAGGAAGTGTGTCCAAACAACTTTCTACCGGCCCGGGAATCGAACCTGTGACATCTCGCTTGCGAGGCAAGAGCGGTACCGCTCTACCACCGGCACCCCTGTAGAACCATTGTCGCTCACAAAAACAACTCCGTTTTGTCTCCTCATGTGTGTTTTAATATTCTAAGTATTATTAATGAATTCCATTGTTCATTTCACATTTGTAAACATTAATTCAATCAAATACATAGTCAGTAATAAACAATAATGAATCTTTTGTGGCCCAACACCACTCTTATTACATCTTATCACATCAAGCTGTCCCTAAAAGAGGGGCAGCACAGGAGGAACTATCCCTGGGGCGTTTAGGCATGATTGCATAACACACGAAGTCGGAAATAAAAGAAATCCATGAAGTTGGAGACACATGGTAAGTATAAATAAGTGCAGAGAGGTGGAAATGAGCCAGAGGCAGCACGCAGAACCCTATCGTGACAAGAATTTGCTCCACGTCTACCTGCCAAATTCAAAACAGCTATACCACTCTTCTCTCTATTGTTGGATCTCTGGGATATCAACAAAACTTATGGGGCACTTCCCCTATATGTAATCATTGGTTGTGCAAATCGGCGATAAATGGGTCATCAGTGTGTACCTGTACTATAGGGGGCAGGGAAAAAACACTTTTATTTGAGTTGCAGGCTGCACTTTTCAGGCATCGTTTGTATGGCTGTAACAAACACCTGTGCAAAATTTCATGCCATTTCATGCATACTTACCCTGCCGCATCGCGAACGACTTTTTGTCAACTTTTAGTGTATACCAAAAATTAGGTGTCATTTAATGTTTTCCAGGATAATGATAAATTTTACATGGGTGACATCGATTTAATTCACATGTTATTTTACAGGTACACCGTATAGAAAATCATTACAAATTCATATTGAAATTTTTTTTTGTGCGGAACCTTGGCATCATTTTCCTAGACAATAATCTTTGCCTAATATATCCATCTCTCGATTCGTATCCCGTCACTTCAGTGCAAGCTTCAGTCATCACTTTTATGCCTCTCTCGACCGCCTGAGTGCTGTTTGGCCACTTGGGCACCACTAATGGTGTCTCAAGAATGTCATTAACCTGTAGATTTGACAGAGAAGCAATGTAAGGAGGCTCAGTCTTGAGTTCATTCCTCCAGTTAATCATGGAATGATAGTTTTTTGCTTGCCACTTTAGTTTCGGAGTCACCACCTTTCTCATGTTGACTACAGGAGGCACATCCTCATTCCCATCTCCATCTTTACCCTCCTCATCAGTATAGTTTAACAAATTCTCGTCAACAGCAGCATCAGAATCTTCCTCCTCCTCTTCAGATCTGCCAGTGCATTCTTCCTTTTGCCGATTCTCCTCTCTAATTTTTCTTATCATTGAGACAGATTTTTCTCTAACAGTCATGTCCTCATCTGCACACATACCAAGAAGAAGTTGATCTGTGTGGGCGAAGTATGCATTTCTCTGGACAGCCTTCTTCACTATCGTCTCCTCCTCACTATTCAGGTGTTTCATATATAGCAGGGACTGGAATACGTTCCTTGAGCTGTGTGTTACGTAAGGGTGTATCTTGATGTAAAACCACATTGGCGCACTGAACTTTATTATTGTAATGACAATTCTTTTCAACTCATGGCTGGGTCTTGATGTTGCTACATACAGCCTGAGGATTCTACTCCATAAGGTGTTCCACCTTGACACACAGGGAGGACCTGGCTCAATAGCAGTCAAGTCATCTTCAACAACACCTGTGATAACTCCTTTACAAATCCTATACAGGTATTTCTGATCCCAGGACAGATCTTTCTCCACTTCATCATTAAACACAGGGAAATCAGGGAAACTGACTGGCTGGAAGGTGACAACTGGAAGCTCAGACAAAGACTCCTTGATCTGCTTTCCAATGGGACCACGCCAATGCTCAGGACCACTTGGTTTACCATCATAGTGATAAAAAACTGCGCGGAAAGGCAGCTCATTTCCGTGAAGCTGACATATGAAATAATGGAGCGGGTGACCAAGTAACATTTCAAGATGATGAATGACTCCATTTTCTGATCCTACATTTACATTGGTTCCATCACAACCAACACACACAATGGGCTGCTGGGTTAGATTTTTCTCCACCAGAAACTCGTGAATAGTTTTGGCAATCTGCTTTCCGTGTCCAGTCTTGGGAGTCACATGTGTGAGATATTCATTGCCAGGCTCAACCATGATGACATAATGATCTTTCACCATCATCCTCGAACTCCATTTCTCGGTCTTCTCATTCTTTATCATCACACGAGTGGCGGTCTTCTTACCATCAAAATAGAGTGACGTCAAATTATCTAAACTAGCCATCTCAATTTCTTGCCTCTTAAATCGGTATTTTTGTCTCGCATCCCGCAGCTTATGTGGTCCAATAACCTGACTCTTGTCATCCTTTGTGATAATGCCATAGTCAGTTAAGGTGGCAGTAGCAATGGCAGCTCCAGCATAATCACTAATCAAGTATCGGTCACAAGCGGCAGCCAGTGTAGGGAGTCTTGTCCGGTTCTGTGAACTGGTGTCTGTCAGAGCCCTTGGATCAGGGACAAAATCAGCATCAGTATTGACGAGAGGAATATCTCTTGAATCATCTGAATTATCCTCAACATAAGGAATATCTCCAGCTACCAGATATCTATGTTTTTGCTCAAGCTGTCTCCTAACTCTGTCCGCATCATGCTTCTCTCTTGCCGTCACTCTGTCCCACATCTTCGTCACTTTCATGTCAACCCCTGCAATCTTCATCTTCCTATCACCTCGCTGGTCAAGGAGAAACTGCACCTCACGTTTGGGAACTTTTATAACACAATTACATGCCAGGTGATATCCGTCACACTCCTTAACTATGCACCTCACATCCTGACAGGAGGCAAGGGGACAATAACAGCTACAGATATCAAACAACTCTTTCATTTCTACCTGAAATGCAGCTTTTTTGCCTACATTCTTGTTCTTATTTAGTTCAATTTCTCTACTGTACAATTTTCTCAACCTTTCCTCAATAGTTTTTTGGCTAAGAAGAGGAACATTCTGCCTATCTCCAATTGCTTTTTCCAATATTTCTGAACAGTCCTGGGCGGCCATCTTTATAATCATTGAGACATCTGCAAACTTTCCGTCATCACATTTATATCGCCAGCAGTTCTTTAACATCTCGCCTTTCGAGGGAAGTTTGTCCACTGGAAGAACACTTGCAGAGCCAAACAATGCATGATCTGTGGCTGCCCTCGTTAATACACTGAACAGAACATTGCACCGCCACAGCGGCTGTTTGGCTAGTACTGTAGGTAAATTTAAAAATTTCAGTAGAAAATGCGGCAGACTAAACCTCGACATATCAGCTTCAAATTTGGCATGGAGTCTTAGATTTGTATAAGGAACAATGCCTGAAGAGTGCAGCTTTGAGCAAAATTTCACTGCCCCCTACTGTACTATCTGGTAGTTATAAATGCAGTATGATAAAATTCTTATAAGTTTTCTTTTTTATTCCTTCTATATTTTTATTTTTCTGTTATGAATATACATCATTGTTCTCTTTTCATTGTCTTGTACAGTAATTGTGTATCTTTAATTATTTGAAAGTTTCCTTTATTCCAGTGGGAAAGTGACATACTTCACAGTCTTGTGTGAACAGTACCAGCCAAGTTTAAAGAGAGACCCTTCTTACCGGGAATATTTGGATCGTATTGGACAACTGTTCTTTAATCTACCAGCTCCTAGACCCCAACATGGTCCTGGGGGTATATTTGGTGAGGAATAATAAATAAATTTAGACATAGATATAAATTTTAAAACAGGTTGGACACCGCTAATCTGGGACCTGATAGTCCAGCAGCTTCAATTGTTCGGGACGGTGTCATAGCTTACTTTTAGTGGTTATTGCCTCTATTTTACATTTAAATACTTATAATTTAACCCTAAATATGCCTCCTAAGAGACCAGCAAGCAGTGGAAGTGGTTGTAATGCACAGAAATGTAAGCATGTGACATAACTATTTTAGAAAAGACTTATCCGAAATCCTTGGGGCCAGATGCATTTCGGATTTCGGAATTTTTTGGATTTCAGAATGGTTAGGCTATTTTTTTTTTTTTTTTTTTAGGGATCAACCCACCCAGGCACAGGTCACTGACCCACATTGGGCCCTGGGGGGCTAAAATATTATAATAATAATTATAATAATAGAAATAATAATAATAATTCATAAGTCTAGGTTGTGTTCCTCACTTTTGATCTTTTTTTCAATTCTTGTATTTCTTTATTATTTTTATTATTATTTTATTATTATTATTATTATTATTATTATTATTATTATTATTATTATTATCATTATTATTTTATTTTTGTGTATTATTTATAATAAATTGTATTTACTATGTATTTACTATGATTATTATATTATAATTATTATTATTATTATTATTATTATTATTATTATTATTACATTTTCACCCCCAGGCCCTGATTTGGGTCAGTGACCTGTGCCCGGGTGGGCTAATCCCTATTAAAAAAAAAAAAAAAAAAATCTCCACAAAAACTTTCGGTTTTCTGAATTTCGGATAAGGGGTTGTCAACCTGTAATAGTAAATTTTTTGCATTACTGTATATTGCCTTTTTTTTTACCTCGGCTTCCATGGTTTGGAATTTTTGCTAATTCGGAACTGGTCTGGTCCCAAGCTTCCCGGTTTAGCGAGGTTCAACCTGTATAGACTACTGGGTAAAGTGCTTTAATTACTTAAATATCATTGAGAATGTTGTGTTTGTCATTTTTGCTAATCACAGTTCAGGATGCAATCATTTTGCCAAATTCTATAATAGGTATGCTAGGCCTCACCATTTCCTCTAAAGCTTCCGCCCGAAAGCTGGGAATGCTATGCAGGTGCCATAGCTAATTCACTCCTGAGCAGTTGCTTCAGGTTGATCAGGGAGGATTCATACGTCTTGACTTGGAGTACTGCTCTCATATTTAGGGTGGTTCTTCTGTACATTTGTTAGATAGGGTGGAATCAAAGGCATTTCATTTTATTAACTCTCCTCCTTTAGTCGATAATCTGTCTTCCCTTTCTCTTCGCTGCAATATTGCTTCACTCTCTCTTTTACAGGTACAGTATTTTAATGGGCAATGTTCAGTGGATTTGTTGTCGTGTGTATTGCCGGCAAAGCAGGGGGCTCGTAACACTTGTCTTGCCTGTGGTGCCTACTGTTTCTGTGTGGATATCAGTCACACTAGAGTATCCCGTTATGGTACATCCTCTGCCTTCTTCTGTGTTTCCATCATCTTACTATCTGTCTCACTTCAAAAAGATGGTTTTCCAGCATCTTTGTGGTTTAGATTGTCATTTTCTCTTCTCATTTTTATTATTATTTTTTTACTCTATTTTTTTGTCCCCCAGGCCCCATTGTGACTTATGCCCGGGTGGGATATTCCCCGCAAAAAAAGAAAAAAAAAAAACGTTCTGAGAATGATGACTGCTTTGATCACATTTTAAATTTTAAATTAAATGGTTGGAATGGGTCATCATTTGCTTTTGTTGAATATTGTACAGTATAAAGGTTAAGTTGAAAGCCGTATGATTGTTTACCTACCAGTTATCTAAAAGGAGATGAACATTCTTCTTTGTAAAAGATGTTGTCAAACTCTGAATCAAATTCTTAAAAGCATCTTGTGCTTTCATCAACATAGCCTTACAAGTCATTTGGAATAATGAGATGAACTTAAGGGGTAGCCATAAGTGTGGATTTGGGTGGAAAATGTGGCCAAAAGTGACCTGGATCTGATGGTAAATTGCTTAAGACCATAAAGGAACCGGGAAAACTTCATATTCTTATGACAAAAGAAAGTGAAATTTTTTTGTAATTAGTAAATTGCCATTTAGTTGCAAACCTGACTTGACTTATGCCTCCCAGGCTAAGCATCAATCACACAGTGTAATCACAACCACATGAATATACTCGGCCAATCATTGCACTCCATCGTTCTCTCAGGCTGTACTCAGCAGCATAAGACATCTGAGGACCTATGGGGTTATGTATATCTTCACACCCTGTTTGCTCGCATTTTGTTTTTGGTGATTGAATGCCTCTGGAAAGCTGCTGCTCAATTATGTCACAAAATTTTGGTACATAGGCCAAAGTTTTCTTGTAAGTAAGATGGGCATGGGAGCTGAGAAAAGTCTCTGAAGTCCTGTGATGTTATTGGAAGTTACCTTATGCTGTGATTCATTGGCTTTATTATGGTGATCAAGCTGGTACTTTTATCCAAGTTAGACCATGTGGTGGTTAAGGGACCAGCTAGCCATGGTGTGTGGCTGGTATTTGGATTTCTGTCTTAATTGGTAATTTGAGCTTTTTTCATTTTCCTTATTAGCTGCAGTATCACTAGAAGGCTGCTTGAGTCACTTTTGGAGTCATTATAAAGTACTGACTACTGCACTAGTACACGAGTCACAAACACAGAATGGAAGTTACAAAACATGGAACATGGTGACACTCTTAGCTCAGTGGCATATGATGCTGCTCTTGCCTCCAGTGCATATTCAAGGTATCTGGCAGAAGGGTACTAGCTGCATTGCTCTGTCAAGGGTGGCCAAACAGTGGCTCTTTGACACTTAATGTGCTGCTCGTGAAAATATCTTGGCTGAGCTCCTTTTTGCATCATAATCAGTATACCGTAAGCCAATAACTTGAAATGCCACTACGAAACAAATTACAAAGACTTTTCGTATCATTATCCACCTAAATCAGAATGACGGAAAAACAAGCTTTGTGAAATGGTATATGATTAAAATATCTTTAATTTTATTGATTTGCTTGTTTTTCTTTTATATTTTCCTCCAAGTTTTGACTAATTGTTTACTAAAACAAATAAATAAAAGTAAAAATATTTTAATGTTATTTTCGCCCTTTTTTCCTTCAACAATCCCAGTTTATGTTACCGAAATGCAGACTTGCATATTTTTCTGGGATATGCCCATAGTTCATTATGTGTTAAAGCATGCTCATCACTGTTAAAACAAACATCACTCAAAATTTTGATAACACTTGGTATATATTTGTACTCTTGATTATTGAAACATAAAATGTATCAATTTAAAAACTACTTACATTAGTAAATATTACTGTATACATGTATTTTTTAGTAATATATGCATTATAATTTGGGTAATAAAATGCATATGGAACACTAAAAACGTGTGTAAATTTTCTTCATGTCTTGCCGCTCTCGAACATCTGAAGATAATCGTATATGGGTCTTTGGTTAAGCAAGTCTGGCCACCCCTGCGCTATGCAGTGACATTTAATTAGGGATAATGTGCTCTGTGGAATGCATGGGAGTGAACTGGTAATCTTATATTTTGGTTGAAGAGAAAATGGTTCTGCAAATGGAACCACTTTTATCTTATGGTTTTTGTTTGTTTTAAACAGCAGCACCTACCGGTATATCATTCAGAGACCCTATCCTCTTATAACTGATGGATGCAGATGGAAAGATAACTGTCTTTTTAGAAGAGCCATTTAGATTACAACACATGGACGTATCGTACTTAAGCCATCCACTTAGATCATAAATGGGAGTTCAGAATAATTTTATTTTATTTTTTAAATACATTACATAGTTGAAAATAGAATGTCTTTAGTATTTGGGCCTCCTTTTTTTTTTAGGTGAATTAAATGTGCCCCAGTGTTTAGGCACTCTGATACACATTTTTTTTTTAATTTTATGTTAATACAGTAGTGGTATTTGATTTTTAAGGAGTTAGCTCTGGAACCCACAGCTATAAAAAAATCTTTTATAGTGCCATTTTTATTAACCCATTTAATGGGGCTGGTCTGAATTTCAAGTGAACTCTCATTGAAACACTTGACACAATGGCCTGATGGATAGTTCATGAAACATCAATGTAAATGATACATATTTTGACATCTTATGCTTGTCTGTTAAAGCAAATGTTTAGTTACTGATGTAATATTTTTCCATATCCCCCCCCCCTCCAGGTAATTTGCTTCAGGGGCTACTAGGTGGAGGTCTTGGAGATGATGATTCTGAAGATGAAGGAACAATGGGTGGCCCATCATCTTCACAACCCATGGCAGCAGAGGAGCTGGACTAATGTTGTCTTACTGTAGGACTCTAAACTGCTTAATATTTCGACTTTAAGCTATTGTGGGTACAACACTGCACCACCTTCAATAGTATATATATGACCTCCATTTTCTTTTGTACTACTGCCATTGATATTGAATATACTATTTCATGATGAAGCCCTATTTAATTTAGGGTTCATTTTGTAAACATAACATTAACATTGGCATACTTCATAAGATTTATAGAAGAAATTTAGTTATAGGAATTTGTCATTTCTGAAAAGCGAAGAGTCATGCTTATCCTTTCTAAAATTTACTGTCTTGGATAGTATTTATGCATAGGTATTCTCTGAATGCAGTCAGGGAGGTTATGTTATGCAGATTTGAATTCAGATTCATATCTGATCATAGAACTCTGAAGTGTGTAAATAGTGAGAAGTTACTTAGACACCTTAGATTTTGCTACCGAGACCAAACCATTGTATAGATTACAAGAATAGATAAAATGGTTTCTGTGTACCAAATTTTGATGCAGAGTTTTGTAATATATGCCATTTAAAGAGATATTACATATTTAAATGTTGAATGCACTACCCATATGTTTCTCAAGACCAGTAACAATGTGCTTCAGATCAGCTGCTAGATTTTATTAATAAGTGTCCCATAGTTATTGAGTCAAGGGGGGAAGATAATAAGCAAATTTTTGTAACTATCAGTTAAAAAAGTCTGAGACATTTCGATTTCATTTATGAGCTGAGAATACACACATTCTATATAATTCATGTAAGGAAGGCATATTTGTTTTTATATTGTAAGTAAATTAGTGTTTTGGGCTGAGCAGTCAGTTCATAGAATGAGTGTACTAAAATGTTTATATGTGGAGAATGCAAAAATCAAGTGCAGAATGTGGAAAGTGAATTGGGTGTTGGGGGATGTTTTTTTTTAAGTTTGGCAATCAGCTTTAAGTCAGCAGACCACTCAACCTAGGTGTAATTTCAATACATATATGGAATAGCCAAAAATTAATATCTATTTTTTCTATTAGGTGCATCACAGGAGCTTGATTTTGCTATTACTGTACTTTGTCATCCACACACACACTGCTTTTTTTGGCATCCATGTCAACCTTAGTGCTACAGTTTTTGTGAGTAGGCTTGACACACAGGTTGCGGTGGGTCTTTATTTTCAGTGGTTCCTTATGTTTGTTGTGAACACTTAAAAAAAAATTGATAATAGACAAAATTTCCATATTAGATGACGTGATCACAGATGGTATGTTCTTTGTTTGAAAGTCATTTAGTAATAAGACTTGTCCTCATATAAAAGATGCAGGACACATCATCACCCTTATTCAAAGCACTGGTTCATGATACCAACAGATAGACTTATACAGGTTTACAATAAACTGTGAGTATTAAATGTAGCTGTTTGCAAAGATAGTATTATTTAACAATTGCAGTAATTAGACTCATAGTCTAGAACCTGAAATGGTTGCAGTGAATTGAGACAAGAAAATATAATTTAGTAATGCCAGGGCATGTGTAAAGATAATCATCTAGGTGCCTGTATGCAAAGTACATCTGTTTGTCCAGATGATGCAGTTTCTTGCATAAGAGGAGGATGGCTTTTTCAGATGTTCTTTATACACTGGTCAGTGGACATCACATTGTTAATAGACTCCTCAGCAGTGCTCATAAAGAGTTGCTGAAAAACTGTGCATGCTGGTTTAGCTCCCACATGAGTCAGGTGGTTGCCTTCTGAGTCATATCCTTTTAAAACATTATTTGCCATTGTTAATAGTCCCCTTTTTCATTTTTCTAACCCAAATGTTATTGTTTATTGATGAATATAATACGGTCATTCTGTGTGAAATCAACATACTGTACTTTGGAAGCAAAATATACGTGACTAATTTTTATTAGAATTTGTTACACATGCATGACCCATTAAGACGTACAGTACAGTACATACAAAATACACAAACAGATTCTGTTTCTGTTAACTTCAAAATACTGTACAAATTTTTATCTGAATTTTGCCTAATTATAGGGCTTGGAAATGTGTGATGATTTCATAGGGAATTACCTCAGTGTAACAATTTCCTTATCTTCTCTTTTCCTCTTGTTTTTGTTTCATAGATAATTCATGAATGCAATTTCTCCCACTCACCCTTTTAATTTCATACATTACCCTTTAAATGGTAATATTCTATCTCTCCTCCTTGTGTCATTGTTTAATTATTGCTGCTACTATAAGTATCAGAGAATGTGTGAATAAAATGTGATTTTGAAATATAACTATCCTACTTTCATCCTGGTGTCATTGGAACAAGATGGTTGACTAAGGTGAGGACAGTTGGTGATTATCATGTCACTCAAATTCATTACCTGATGGAGTAAGTGACAACTTCAAGAAAAAAAATGGGCTTGTGGTACAATATGATGGTACAGAAAACTCTCAATATTGGATATTCCCAGTAACGGATGTCTTTTTTTATTATCATTAGCAGACTAAATCTGTTAATGGTAGTAATAGTTTTATGTTGATAGGGTCAGGTGGTGCATCAGAGCTTGCCAGAAGCAGTGTAGCTAAGCATCCCAGCCCTTGGGACTCTAGTCCCCTTATTTGATGCTGTATGTACTGTCATTGGTTCAGGGATTTCAGTCATTTGTGTGCTTTTTAGTCTCTTTCTGCATCTCATGCTGTAGTGTTCTTGTGTATTTGTGTGTGTGAAACACCATTGTGGAGTGTTATTACTGTTTTATATGTGAGAGTACAAGAACTAAGTGTCAATACCAAAATATATTACACTGACTTGAAAAGGATAACAACTGACTAATTCATTGCCTCTTTCCGTCCTTTTCTTAGTCATTCGGGAGCCAGGTGAACACGTTCAGAAGCTAGCTCCCCACGTGTGAATGGGTTTCTTCATGCATTTCCGAGGCCTCTCACACCAGTTGTGCGCACCAATGATACTCCTGAACACTAAGAAAAGGGTTGTTTTTGTTTGGCACTGCAATAGGAGGTATCACCTGTGCCAGACGAGTATAAAAAAGTAGGTACCGTAGCCCCATAATTAAGGGAGGATAGATTTGTGTATGCAGTACAGTATAGTCTCGGTTTACGCGGTTGGTCATTTACACGGCACCTGTCCAGATGCGCCAATTATTAGTTACGCGGTACATTCCTGAATTTACGCGGGAAGCGGTGCGGACAAGCTGCGCGCTAGGTCGCTCTTACGTCACCGCTGACATCAGACGACGTTTTGGACTGTGATTTGGCCACGCATCCTTACCACCAACGCACCCCCTCCACCGAGCGCTGTGATTGGTCTATTTAACCTTGCCTGCCCAGTCAACAAAACATTACCGAGTTTTTCACCCAACAGCCAGCCCAAGTCGGTGATAGTGAGGATATGGACTTTGAGGGGTTTGACAAGGAGGCTCCACTAGCCTCTGTGGTGGATATTGATACAGGTGATACAGATGAGGGCCAATAATCTGCCCTCTGCCTCAGAACCAACCCCCATCCCTGTGTGCCCAGCCATCTCTTCTACTAACGTAAGTGTTAAAAAACCTATTGTTATTGATATTTCTCTTATATATTAATTGTGTGTGCGCATACCATCATAAAATTAAGATGTTATTTTTACTACAACGTACGTATTGTGTCGGAAAAAGGGTAGTCTGGGGGTCGGCCCAGTCTCTATTTCAATTAAATCCCATATGTTCTGTTATTTCGTTTCGCATTATACGTGGACCTCCACGGGTTAAATTGACCGCGTAAAACGAGACTATACTGTAGTACAGTACTGTATTGTACAATGTTCATTTTATTTTGTTATCATTTTACCACTTATCAGCTTACTAGCCATATGGGCAGTTGGTCTATCTAGTGTTAGTTCAAGAGAAAACCGGGGTCCAGGAAACCGATCATGTTTGGCAGAGTCACACTGGATAACACCCATCTCACGTGTGTCCAGGCTGAGCAGGACTCAAATCCTTGACATACGTATTGGTGAGAGAGACATGTGTAACCACTGTACCAACACAGTATAAGATGTGCATTTTGATGATGAGGAATGACGTGAAACTTTATTGTATTGTGCATACACAAGGGAAAAAAGAACAAATCCTGTTTTGGAAATCCTTCCATTAATTGATAGAGCTGGCATGAAATAGTTCAGTATTGGGAGGGTTTACTGTATCAGTAGACACTTTATTGTGATTCTTTGGCTACAGTTCATGTGCTTGCTACTAGGCTGTATTTCTTTATTTTGTTTGTCATCCTGCTGGGCCAGGTTGGAATGAAAAGTTTCGTGGATAATAAGATTTCATTTAGTGTAAATCCATTAATTCCGATTACAAGTACAGTACAGTAAAGCCTTCGATAACAATGATTCATATTTAAGACCCTGGTTAATTTAGGACCCAATTCAATTTATGCCATTATTTTCTTCGTATTTACGACGAAATTAGAAGAAAAAGTTACATTTTCATATAAATAATAACTAAATCCCGATACGGGTATATATTATAAAAAAAAAAAAAAAGCCTTGCGCAATGAGGCTGCCGGGTTTATTAGTGGTGATGCCAGCATCACTAGTATAAACAATTGCAGCTGGTGGGCCCTTTGTTTTCACGCATCTGAACAGAAAAAGGAGAAAAAATTTTTCAGGTTTCTTACAGCATTTTTGCATTCCTATTCAACAAGAGCAAGAGAGCAAGTGCTGGTTCAAAAGCTAATAGAAAGTGTATAAGCTTATCCAAGAAACTAGACGTGTTAAAAATATATGAGAAAGGGTGAGAGGTTTGTGGATATTATATGGAGCAAGCATTGAATATGTTTTCTGAAGTGGATCCATTAACAGACCAAAGCATTAAAATTAACAGGGACATGAAAAACACAAACGACCTCTACATAAAGATGTATACTGTAATGAGAAAAGAAAACAGCTGTGCAAGGTTCTTTCGACAGCTTTATTATTCGAAGCCCTAAACCATCAACTTCAGCTTCACGATCAAATTCAGCATCATAAGCAGCTTCAACAACAACTTCAGGTTCAGTAACAGTTTCAGCAACAGCTTTATGGAAAGCTACAGCTTCAGCCAGAGTTGAACCTGATGACTTCGTTATCTGAGTAAAGACTCGCAGTAAATAAGTGTTGCTTTCATATTCTTACGTAGAGAAATGACGATATGTTTTCATATGTACGCACTCACATACTTTGGCGTTCCCAGTCTTCTCGCTTTATTTCTTTACCATTAGTGGGTAGCTACTTACAGTATATTGTTCCATTTATTAACTTTAAATAACATTACTTAAAATGTACATGTATTCATTTTTTTGCATTAAAATCACTACAGCTACAACCAAAGTCTTATTTTCTTCAGTTTCTTATGCAGAACCATCGTCATTCATGAAAACAATGCCGTCTTGTCTCCTCTTGTGTGTTTTAATATTCTACGTATTATTAATGAATTACATTGTTTCTTTCTCATATATAAACATTGATTCAATCAAATTCATATTCAGTAATAAACAATAATGAATTTTTTGTATATATTCTTAAGAAAGATGACTATGTTTCCTCGAGTGCGCACGTATACATTGGCGTTCCACTATCAGTCTCACCTTTTTTCTTTAATATCAGTGGTTACTTCTACTGTACATTAAATAACATTAATTAAAACATACACATTTTTTACATTAATTTTACTGCATCAACAACCAGGGTCTTATTTCTTCAGTTTCAGATTGATAACTGACATTATGGGTGTAAACACAGACAAAAACAATGGCATCTCTTATCCTCTTGGTGTGTTTTAATATTCTATGTATTAATAAACTGTATTGTTCATTTTGTAAAAAGATAAATGACTCGGTTTCCTTGAGTGTGCACTTATATTTTGGCGTTCCCAATCCATCTCACTTTTTTTTTCTTTGCCATTAGTGGTTAGCTACTTCTATTGTTCCATTTATTAACATTAAATAACATTACTTAAAACATATATATTAATTTTTTTACATTAATTTTACTACAGCTACAACCTGGGTTTTATTTTCTTCAGTTTCTTATGTAGAACTATCGTCCCGGACGCCCGGCTGTAAACACAAACAAAAACAATGGCGTCCCATTTCCTCTTGTGTGACCATATTATTATTCTTTATATTGTATAAGGTGTAATCAGAAACATTATTTAAAGAATATAGTTTGCAAATTTTATTAATTGTATTGTTTTTTGGGGGAAAGAGGGTAAAAATCCACACAAAAGATATGAAAAGGTCACACTTGGGAATGCATCTCATTATTATTGCTTTATTGTAATGGTAATTAATGATTCGCGATAACACGATTCACCTTACATGGCAATACTGGAAGACACATTAACATTGTTATTCGAGGCTTTACTGTATATACGTATATACAGGTACTCCTCGACTTACGACAATCTGGACATACGATTGGTGCGGTCGTATAAAAATTTTTTCAAATTTCGTATTTTCTAGCACCGAAACGTTTCGGTCCCGTACGACAGCGTGGTCTGGGCCGCCTCGTGGTGTACAGCATCCACGCTGTAGCCTGCTCAGTTGGTGTTTGGCCGTCGTTGTCGTTAGTGATCGTGCTGTGTACTGACAAAATTTTCGTTTCTAATTCCCTTTAAATTGACTGGCAAGCTTTTAAGGAGGAGCTAGATCATGTCATCATGAAGGGAAATTATTTGCCTGATCAAATATTTAATGTGGATTAAACTGGCCTATTCTGGAAGCGCATGCCAAAACGGACATACATCCACAAAGAGGAGAAAACCATGCCGGGATTCAAGGCATTCATGGACCGAATCACACTTCTGTTGGGGGAATGTAGCTGGTTTCAAAGTAAAACCCTTCATGATATATCATTCAGAGAACCCAAGGGCTTTTAAACATGTCAGCAAGCACACACTGCCAATAATAAGAAAGCATGGATGACGCTAGCACTGTTTGTGGATTGATTCCTGAGTTGTTTCATTCCACGAGCCAAGGAGTATTGTCTGCAACAAAGGGGTTGCGTTCAAGATTTTATTAATTTTAGATAATGCTCCGGGACACCCACCACACCTGGACGACTTGCACCCTGATGTTAAGGTAGTCTACATTCCATCTAACACTACCTTTATCATCCAACCCATGGATCAAGGTGCTATTGCTGCTTTTAAAGCGTATTATTTACTTACAACCTTCGCTCAGGCTGTTGCTGCTACTGAAGGTGAGAAAACGCTAAGAGAGTTTTGGAAGGACTACAACATTTTGCAATGTACAAAGAACATAGCTGCAGCATGGGATGAGGCTACAGGTCAGTGCATAAATGGAAAAGGAAAAAGGTCATGAAAAGATATGTGAACAGTTTCAAAGGATTTAATGAAGATGAAGCAATTTCTGAGATTAATAACAAGATAGTGCAGATGGGTAAACAGCTGGAGTTAGAAATTGATAATGAAGATGTTGAGCAGTTGGTGGAAAGTGTAGCAGAAGAGCTAAGTAACGAGGATCTTACTGAACTGGATGCACAGAAAATTGCAGAGGAAGAAGAGACACAAAATATAGAAGAAGAACCTGCACCCCCTAAAAAGTTTTCAGTGAAACTAATGGCAGAGGCATTTGCTACTATTAATAAGGGGGTGCAAATGTTTGAAGAAATGGATCAAAATGTTGAGCGTTTTGCAAAAGTTGACAGACTGATCCAAGATGCACTTACTTGCTTGCTACAGGGAGATTTTCAATGAAAAGAAAAGGCAAACTGTGCAGTCTAAATTGGACATATATTTTAAGAAGTCCCCCACTGCTGCCTCTTCACCCCCTAAAGATGTTCCAATACCTTCAACAAACAAGTATGTTAGCCTGTCTGAAGAAAGCGAAATTGATGACCCACCCAGCCCTGTCTCTGCCTCTGCTTCATCCAATTAATGTAGTCTCCATATTTAATTAAAAATTATTGAGGCCCTGTGTGCATTCAGCTGACTGCATTAAAGGTAAGTTCACAGTAACACTTTATTCATTTTTCATTAATGATTACCTTTACTGTACTGTATTTTATTTTAGAATTTCTATGTACAGTGTTATTTTTCGACTTACCACCAACTCGATTTATGACCTGGTCGACGGGACAGAACCCCTTTGTAAGTCGAGAAGAGACTGTATATGTGTGTATGTATGTATAAACAGTGGTCCCTCAGTTAACGAAATTTTGGTTAACGAATTACCTTCCATAAGAATCTTTTATATATATATATATATATATATATATATATATATATATATATATATATATATATATATATATATATATATATATATATATATATATATATATATATATATATATATATATATATATATATATCACTGTATATGATATATATGCTGATAACCACAAGGAAAGAAGAAAACATATAATTCACATTCAGGGTGAGTACAGATATAGGCGTATGACCTTACTAATCTTTATCAGGTATATATAACATATACTTGGGAATATATATATATATATATATATATATATATATATATATATATATATATATATATATATATATATATATATATATATATATATGGTCCCTTGGTTAACAAACACAATTCATTCCAGTGTACAATAAAGGTGTACAGTACTGTAGAGCTGTAAGAAAAAGTGTGAACACTGCTGACAGTGCATGAGAAAGGTAGAGTGGAGAGTCAATTAACTGAGCTGAGACAACTGGTTGGTTGGTGGGCCTGGCAGCATCCAGATGGGGGTGCTGGCTGGTGTACAAACATCTAGTGCTTCTTTGTTGATATTTTTTCTCCACAGGTTTTAAGGCACCTAATACCTTGCTTCTTACTTTACATTTTCTTTTAGCACGGTTAATCTTGGTTCTATCACTTTTGTGTGTGTTTGAGGGCATTGTGGAAAAAATCAAACAAAAATTACACAACACACCCGGCAGGAACCAAGACTGCTTGAAGTGTCGGACGTAACTCAAGCATCTGTGACCGCAGGATTCGTGCCATGTAAAAAAGCAGCGGAAATTTAGGATGATGTAATAAAGTACGGTACTAGAGGTTGAGTGTGGGATCTTATTTTGTATAGAGAACGTATCTCTAATTAAATAATGGAGGTCAATGGAAAAATGAGGGTCAATTTGTGAAATACAAATTTATGAGAGCCTTTTCAGGCATTTAACTCATAAATTGGGGTCTGCCTGTATAGTACTTCTTACAATGGTACCATACATCTGATTGTATGTACAGTCGACCCTCATTAAAACGGACTAATTGGGGGGGGGGAAGGGTGTCTGTTTTAGCTGATTGTCTGAATTAACCGATTTAGGGGTTAATATTGCATAATATTGCATTATATTTCAAAGAAAATGCAGTGAGTTTGTCCTTAGCCTTGCATATGTCCGAAACTGTTTGCTTTTTAACACCATACTTGTCACAAACTCAAGCCACCGAAGCACCAGCCTCTAACTTCCTTATAAGTTCCAGTTTCTGGTTCACAGAAAGGGTCACATACTGTACTTCCTCTTCAGCGTATTACTCCCCCCTTGAAGACATGATGTAAAATACAAGGCTGAAAGATCCCTAATCACTGAAATATCAACGAAAATTGCAGGGCAACACAACACTGATACTCGAATATGGCGCTAAGTCAACAATGACTGGCGGTCTGGCGCGTGCGCGCCATCTATCGGACAATCCCAGAACCAGAAATTTGATACGGACAGTCCCTCGCTTAGTTCAGATTTCGTCCAAATTATCCGAAATCCGGATTAAAGGGGTCCGAATTAACGAGGGTCGACTGTACAGTTGCCTCCACATGAGCATACTACGGTCTGGGTGTGTGTGTGAAACCACATGTATGAGATGTGGCAACGCAGCGCCGTAGCCATGGCCGTGAAACGGTGGATTACTATTTCCTGGTTCCCGGTAGTTCAGTCCTCGTCGCTCGGTCATAGCTGCACAACAATGTTACTACTGTACATAACACATATTACAAGGTTTTTTATCTATTAATCTCCTTTTTGTTTTATCTTATCATAAACAGGGTACAGTAATTTCACTGTTTCACACCCATTCATTCAGTCCTGACTATGGCGCTGTGTTGCCACATCTCATACCCGAGCCCTCACACACTTCCAGGCTGTGTTACGTTCATGTTGAGGCAACTTTAAGTATGTCTGCAGATACATACATTACACCTGTGTTGAACCTGTTCACTGCCATGTGCTTGCTAACACTCTTACCTAATTTACCTGCCAAACATTTATTCTAGATGCCTTACCAGATAGTTTTTACTATGGTTTTCCCTCTCCACATATGGCTTAAAATTTTTATCTGATTTACCCATCACTTTATACAACCCATAAGAAAAGGTTATAGGTCCTATACAGTACTGTTAATAGGAGAGTAAATAATGCCAAAGAAGACAACCACTGAAGGATAAACCCTTTACTTCACCCATAGACATACAGTATGTTTATGTGTATTCTGTATACAGAATAACCCAATTTACTGCATTAGTATAGCAAATTTAGCATTAAGTACAATGAAAATAATCATAATATGCAAAAAAACACGATGTTGCATATTCAAATATTCCAAAGCAAAAATAGTATCCAATACATATGATTAAAATACAGGCATAGTTGCCTCCTATTATAATGGGCACAGTGGCTAGCGTGTTTTGTGAGATGTGGCACCACCGCCCACTAGACAAAATATAGCAGCCAATGACGTTTTACTTGATAATTAATCTATATTAAAACTATAACCATGCAGGAAATGCATGCATTCACAGATAGAGGAAGGACTGCTTATGTAGCATGCTTGGTCTGGTTACTATAGCAAATAGTTGTCTATTCTGCTAGGTTTACAATGATATAAACAAAGTGGTGCCACAACTCACAAAACATGCCAGCCACTGTACCCATTATAAATGGAGGCAACTGTAACTAGAATAGATTAAAAGTATTTGAGTACCGTAGTTGGACAGTTACACAATTGTATAACAAACAAGTATGAAGATATGTCAAGATTTTATTTTAAAATATTTTACTTTAAGCTCAAATGGAGTCAAACCAGTTCCCATCATATATCACAAAATTATGTATATCACAGTAGAATGGAAAGTTATTTGTTAAGGTTAATGCTTTCTAGTTCTTAAAGGTGATTCATAGCCATGGCTATGTGTTGCTCGATATTGGCCATGGCGTTCTTTATAGTCTGTTCTGTTACACTTCCGCAGTCACTCCTAGTTTCATTGGCATCTGACTCTTGTTTAGAAGAGAGGGGGTCTGAAAAAAATAATGGATTGATCCTAAAATCCTATTCATAATGAAGCCTGAATCAAGGAAACTGAGGTAAATATGGACTGTAGTCCATTTAAAATACATAAAATCATTTCATTACAAACACTTAAGTCTTGTAGCTATACAGATCATACCCTGTTGATTCATTAAAATATGTGCAATGCCAAGGCCTGAATAGTCAAATCCTACTTGAGCAAGTTCAATCCTATTCTGAAAATTCTCCAGAACTTCTTATTCCACTTACATCAGTTCACACTGGAGGAGAAAATAAGTAAACAGCTCATTATGACCCTGGGAGAAAGTCAGGGATATTACTGTAGGTGGAGGAGTTAGCTCAGACTTAACAGGTTACTTGATTGCTCTCACTGAATGACCCAATCCAGCATCAACTACCTAGATGGATATCTGAAAATGATTGGAAGACACAAAACTAACTAATTAAAGAATTAATTCCAACCACTAATGTCAAGGGTCCCTAGTTTCAACCCTTAGACTCAGGTGGTAATACCTGTACAGGTGTCATCTGAGCCAGGCATAAGTTATAATTGAAAGCTGAAAGACCACAGTTCTCTCTAATGGTTTCACACAGCACTGATGCACATTATGTTCTCAGAAGCGAGTACTGTATTGGGAGCAGATTGTCAGAGCTAAAGGTTCATAAAAGCCCGGGCCCTGACAGCGTGCATCCCAGAGTGCAAAGAGAGTTGTGCAATGACCTTGCCGAGCCCCTTAAAATCCCGTTCTGCAGAAGCATGGAGAAGTAAAAGATCACCAGGGACTGGAAAATGGCATACGTGAGACCTATACAGACCTATACATTAGTAACATGAGTGCTAATCAAACTAAGAACTGTAGCCATGAATTGAGGTTCCAGCTCAGGAGGATACTTGTTGATCTTTCAATAGCACTTAAGTTCACCACTGAACAATACAAATACTGTACTGTAAAAAGGTAATACTGTACAATCTGAAAATGTATTTTTAAATTAAAAATTTTGTAACATATCTGATAGAAGCTACCAACCATCAAGGCAGTCAAAACATCAAGTTTGGTGTTAGTAAAAGTATTAACACATATTATCGCTCAGAACTGACACTCAATTCACCCTCCCTTAAGCCTTTCCAGTAATATCCACACCTCCAACCATTTCTTCATTTTCAAATTCCACACTTTCTCTTCCAACTGTACACCTTTGTTGTATATAATTGTTGAGAATAATTTTTTTTTTTATTATTTTCTACATACAGTATTACATGAGAATAAGTGGGGAGAAATTGGACAATCAGGCAACTGGTTCCATGACTGTGTGGTGTGAGTGATGAAATCACTTGTCATCACATGAAAGAAAAGTACAGTTATTGTATGTTATATGGTGATTATAGGAAAATGATGACACATTGAAAGCTTATTTGTAGACTTAACATTGTGAAAGTTAAAGAATACTGTAATGAAATAGATTAGTAAAATACGTTAGCATACTTGTACAGGGTATTTTTTTCTTATAGATTAAGGGGGTTTTGCCCATAAATCAAAGCATGTTACAGGGGGTCCCTGACTTACGAACGCCCACCGACGTGAACGAGGTTAAACTTTAAATTTACAGTATTTTATTATCCGATGACTTATTTTTTACTTTCATTTACTGTATTTTGTCATTCTATTTCTTCTTTTCTCTTAAATTAAGTGATTTTAGATGTATATAAAGACTTTGGCTATGATAAAGTGGGATTTTAAACATTGTTCTGTAAGTACAGTATGCACATAGTATGTGTTTCGACTTAAGAACGTCCTCAGTAATGGAATCTGTTCATAACCCGGGGAACCCTTGTACAGTATAAATTTAGTTTTCTCTTAAATTTTTATAAATTAAATCCTTGTAAATCAGGGTTTACCTGCATTATAATGCACAACAATACAAGTACAGTCGACCCTCGTTAATTCGGACTAATAGGGGGGGAGAGGGTGTCCGTTTTAGCCGATTGTCCAAATTAACCGATTTAGGGGTTAATATTGCATTATATTTCAAAGTCATTGTTTTCGTCACGATTTTATCCCACTTTCCACTGTAATACGTACGTAATTTCAGCAAACATATTACATTTCCGTGAATGTATTATATCAAGCACAGTATGAATAGAATATCATTGTAATGTAACAGTATTTTAACCGAAAACTAGTAAAAAACCGAATAACATCTCAAGAACATCGGAAGCTAAGGTAAAGTCTTTTGTTTTCGTCATGTATTTTATCCTATTTTACATTGAAATACATCACGTTTCAGCAAAACTACTATTTATTTCCGAGAATATATTCATTCAGGCGCTGTTTAGGTAAAATATACTTGTGATGTAACAGTTTTTTAACTGAAAACGATTCGAAAAACACGTACCCTCTAGCCCTGTTCAAGGAGAGGACTGGGAGAAGCTGTTTGGTGCTGCAGATGATGACAAGGAAAATGATTTGGATGGATTTTAATGAAAATATTCAGAAATATGGTATCGTAGTATTTATTCAAGTCAATTAGGATAGAATATTATTGTAATACAACAGTTTTTTCACTGAAAACCAATTGAAAAGCGATTACGATAACATCTTTTGAACGAAAGAAAGCGAGTCATTGTTTTCGTCACGATTTTATCCCACTTTCCACTGTAATACATACGTCATTTCAGCAAAAATATTACATTTCCGTGAATGCATTATATCAAGCGCAGTATGGATAGAATACCATTGTAATATAACAGTATTTTAACCAAAAACTATTAAAAAAACGAGTAACTTCTCTTGAACATCGGAAGGTTAGGTAAAATCTTTTGTTTTCGTCATGTATTTTATCCTATTTTACATTAAAATACATCACGTTTCAGCAAAACTACTATTTATTTCCGAGAATATATTCATTCAGGCACAGTTAAGGTAAAATATACATGTGCTGCAACAGTTTTTTAACTGAAAATGATTCGAAAAACACGTGTACCGTCTAGCTGATTGATACTCAACAGCTGGTGGTGCGTCATGCGTCGTTATAAACAATAGGAGGTTGAAGTAGATTACCGGGTGTTATATTAAGTGTGAAATATCAAAAAGGTTTTTATTACCGGTATTTTTTGTAGACCAATGAGAACTGTGATACCGTATATGATATGATAAGTTAGCCTGTGCTAAGAACTTCAACATAGACTACTGAAAACACGTTGTAAGGTAATTTAGCCTATTGTAAGTTGGTGAGCTTCATTTGCTGAAGGAACTGCACAACTTTTCATTACTAACTGGTACATATTTTACGTTTCCATTGTTTACTGGCAGTAAATGGTAAATATTTTTCATGTCTGAAGCTAAAAGTTGCATCCCCCCCCTCACACTAGTGGTGATGTTACATTTAACCAAAAAGACGCTGGTGTTTTATCCCAGCAGTGGGTGGACCAGCATTTTAGCTTAAGGTCCGCGTTGGTAATATTCCTACAAATCTAAAAAAAAAAAAAAAAAAAAAAAAAAAAAAAAAAAAAAAAAAAAAAAATCGTTCATATTTTGTCCGAATCATCCGAAATCCGGATTAAAGGGGTCCGAATTAACGAGGGTCGACTGTACAGGTGTTGTCTTGAGCATAATTTTTTTTAATAAATAAAAAAATGTTTAAAAGAGTACTGTAATCTGTTCCTGCAGCTTTATCATTTAGGGAAGGTCTAATATACAGTATAAGAATATTTGCATGGAGATTTAAGAGAAACTTAGAACAGGAAAGCTCAAGAATAAAGAGATACATAGAGAGAGTGTAGCCACAGTCTTGGAGAGTGAAAACCAGAACTGTCCCTCTATACATACTATATGTATATACAATACTCCTGAGATCTTTCACACCTCCAACTCACGGTTACCCATCTAATTAAATCATCCATAACATCTACACAGACAGCATCTCTAACCCTCTACAATAATTACAAAACTTCACATACAGTACTACAGTAAAATGTTAATGTAACAAGTACCTGTGAGGTGCTCAAGTTCCTTAGCTGGCATATTATTTAAGCGACCCAACTGTTGTTGTACTATTACTCCCACATGGTAGCTCTTGCTCTGTGAAGATACCAATAATAATAAAATAAAAGAATGAGAAATTGTATAACACCCTGTAGTAACAATTATATCAAATTCTAGAACTGGATTTCAATGACAATTTACCAATTACTATTACTACTGTACAATCATTCTTATGAATATCCCAGTTGGTGAAAGATTTTAGTCATTTCTTTTTTAACTATAGTACAGTAACTGGAATTACATGACCAACTCTTACCATCTAATAAAGTACAGTAATGTAGAACGAACTGATGTTCCAGTACAACTCATAATACAGTATTGCTTTTAATTTACAGGACCTGGAAAATCAGCCTAATTTAGGTAAATAAATAACCCCATACAAAAACAAGAAAGCCAATACTGTACATGGAAATAATTTCTTAATACTGTATGTACTGTATACAGTATTGTACATATATTTTTTTTAAGATATTCATTAAAGTGTTCCATTTTATTATATACCATACTTGGTGTGAGTACAGTATCTGAAAATTAAAATTATACAATATTAGCTACTATTATTTCTAGAATTATAGGTTATTCTTTAATGATACAAAAAGGACACTGTACTCTTGTTCTCACCTTTGATCCACAAGGAATGAAAGGCACAAGGTTTTCTTTCTCTTCCTTCTTTTGACTTAAAAGTTCATCCCGAAGCTGTGATGTTAAGGTGGGCTGTGCGTAACTTGAATCTGACACATGAATTGTTGTAATACGTGGAGGAACCTTCTTTTCCTTAATTATTTTGTGCGACTGTCGAGAACTCCGATGAGGAAGTTTTCCTTGTAATTTATAACTCTTTCTCAGCAGTGATTCATCTGAGGAACTACTGGTAGCACTGGATTTCTCTCCGTTTCTGTAACTCCTTTTCTTGGAAGAACTATTGCTGGAATGTTTAGACATGCATCCTCCTCTTTGACTGTTTATTGCCCCCATAGAAGATGCAAGATGTAGATTTTTAGTGATCTGTTCTTGCCCTTCCCCTTTTCTTGAATCACTGCAACCTATTAGAGGGATTTGAGATGTGTTCCTTTCTATATACCCAGAACTTGTTTCAAGTGTATCATTACTGGATAGTAAATTTTTACTAGACAGTTGTTGCGATCTCTTGTGACGGCTTTGCTGTTGCTGTGATTCTGGAATGGATTTCTGCATTTTGGGGTTTTTTATTGTTTCTTCTTTTGACTGCCGATGATGACCTCTGGATCTCTAGAAAAAAGTTTGATTTTTTTTTAAAGCTGCAGTTTAAGTTTGAAGGCTTGAGGCACATATTATGTATGCTACTGGTGCCGTGAACTACAGTAATAGGCTATCCATATGTGTCAACAGAAATTAACCCTTTCACAGCGTGTCACGAGCTTGCCATTTTATTCTGGCTTCCGCCAGACGATTTTATTCAGCTTACGGTAACCTCCCGCTGTGAAAGGGTTAAGCAAACATCATACTTTTTCTGTTAAGAGAAGATGGGGTGAGTTCAGATGGGTCTGGGGTGACTTTGGACAACAGAGTTAATTCCCTGGCTGTACCTGTTTCAGCCTGTCCAGACAATCTGGGGGTTGGTTCAAACGTAAATGAAACAGAAAAAAAAGCCAAAATCTGCAGCAACAAAATTACATATACTGTACTGTACAGTCAAAAGAGAATGGAAAAGTTTTCAAGAAAACTGTAATGTATAATGTGAAAATAACACGCTATTTGGTTCTGTTATGGGCTCATTTTTAAGAGCTAGCAAAATAAAACTTACCACCATTTTCCAGACTTTTTTTTTCTAACTAGAAAATTTATGTTTATCTGCCTTATACACTTATTTAACTAAACTGTATACAGTAACACTACTTTGAGTGCAACTAAACAGTATTCAGAAAGGAAAGAAATTTAACTATGAAACCCTAAAAATATCATACTTAACCTATTACAGTCGGCCCTTAACATATGCTGGTTTATAATACACAGATTTGCAAATACGCGGATTGCCCCGCCGGAGGAATATTCCGTACATTGAAGTACATTCAACTCGCGCGCGGCACCGAACACGGGACACTGCCCGCTCCTGCAACCTCACACACACACACATAGCTCTCCCTCACTCAGTCAGTCTCGCTGTAACCACGCTTGTGTTGACATCAGCATTGTAGTTGCAAAAATATATTTCCGTGAATGTATTATATCAAGCACAGTATGAATAGAATATCACTAATATAAGAGTATTTTAACCGAAAACTACTAAAAAAACGAGTAACATATCTTGAACATCGGAAGGCTAGGTAAAGTCTTTTGTTTTCATGTAGTTTATCCTAATTTACATTGAAATGCATTACGTTTCAGCAAAACTACTATTTATTTCTGAGAATATGGAAATGTAATATTTTGGTGAAATGACGTACGTATTACAGTGGAAAGTGACGAAAGCAATGACCCGCTTTCTTTCGTTCAAAAGATGTTACCGTAATCGCTTTTCGAATGGTTTTCAGTTAAAAAACTGTTGTATTACAATAATATTCTATCCTAATTCACTTGTGATGCAACAGTTTTTTTTAACTGAAAACCATTCGAAAAGCGATTACGGTAACATCTTTTGAACGAAAGAAAGCGAAAGTCATTGTTTTCGTCACTTTCCACTGTAATACGTACGTCATTTCAGCAAAAATATTACATTTCCGTGAATGTAGTATATCAAGCACAGTATGAATATAATATCATTGTAATATAACAGTATTTTAACCGAAAACTATTAAAAAAACGAGTAACATCTCTTGAACATTGGAAGGTTAGGTAAAGTCTTTTGTTTTCGTCATGTATTTTATCCTATTTTACATTGAAATACATCACGTTTCAGCAAAACTACTATTTATTTCTGAGAATATATTCATTCAGGCACAGTTTAGGTAAAATATACATGTGCTGTAACATTTTTTTAATTGAAAACGGTTCGAAAAACACGTACCCTCTAGCCCTGTTCAAGGAGAAGACTGGGAGGAGCTGTTTGGTGCTTAAGACGATGACAAGGAAAATAATTTTGATGGATTTTAATGAAAATATTCAGAAAGACCCTGGCACTGTCAAGGAAAGTGGCTGCTGAAGGCTTCCGGGACATGGCAGAGGACGAGATTAGGGAGCTAATTGAAGCGCGCGACACTGAGCTGACCGAGGAGGATCTACAGGAGTTAGTAGACTCAGGCAAGGAAGAGGAAGCGAAAGGGAAAGAGGATGAGGAAGAGCACCAAGAAATAAAGTTGGAGAAGTTGGGGGAGATGACCAGGAATATTGAGGCACTGAAAAACCTGACCTATAGTATGGACCCCTCCATGGTGCGTGCCCTGAAATTCATGCGAGGGATGGATGGCGTTTTCGCTCCATACAAAAACATCATGGAAGAAATGAAAGAAAGAGACGACAACTCCCCATCACCATGTTCTTTGATCACCGAAGGAGAGATTTAACACCATCAATCACTGGCGGCAGTGAGGAAGCAGCTGAATCCACCGTCGCCCCCACTTCACCACTCGTTATGGAATTGAGTGACGATGAGCCCGATGACCCCCGTCCTGTCGCCGAGGATAGGTACTGTACAGTAAAGTGAAATTTTTATCTCTTTTTTTTTAATAGCTTTTCTTGCTATGTTTATTGTTTGTAAAAATGCACAGCACAGTACAGTTCAGTACTGTACATAGGAAGTGGAGGTGCAGTTATTCACAAAACATTTGTGTTCGTTGTCGGCAGTAGTGACGGGGAGGAGGCAGAGGGGGTGGAGGAGGCAGAGGAGGTGGAGGAGAGGAGGGAGCGGAGGGAGCAAGTTGGGAGGAGTGGTGACCTTGGACGCGGGAGCAGGGACGAGTGGAGATGCCAGCCAGTACATTACGGGTGTATTAATTGTTTTTATAGCTATTTTTGCATTTTAATATTAAATACTGTATTGTACATTACGTTTCAACAAAACTACCATTTATTTCTGAGAACATGGAAATGTAATATTTTTGCTGAAATGATGTATGTATTACAGTGAAAAGTGGGATAAAATTGTGACGAAAGCAATGACTTTCTCTTTCTTTCGTTCAAAAGATGTTACCGTAATCGCTTTTCGAATGGTTTTCAGTTGTGGGATTATAAGGCTAATGATAGGATAGAATATTATTGTAATACAGTACGAGTACAACAGTTTTTTAACTGAAAACCATTCGAAAAGCGATTACGGTAAAATCTTTTGAATAACGAAAGAAAGCGAAAGTCATTGTTTTCGTCTTTCCACTGTAATATGTACGTCATTCCAGCAAAAATATTATATTTCCATGTTTATTTCTGAGAATATCTATATTCATTCAGTCACAGTTAAGGTAAAATATACTTGTGATGTAATATTTTAATGAAAATACCAGGTATTTAGAAATACGGTATCGTAGTTTTCTTTTGTTTCAAATTTAATTAACAAAGATTGATGTTTCAAATGTAATGAACAAAAATTTATGTGCAGTATCTATAAATAAACTTTAAAAAATGAATACTTTATGTTTCACATCGTCCTGTGCATACCATACCATGCATTTGGCTACTTGGGCTTGCTATGATGACGCAAGAGATCTGCCCTAGCAACTGTACCGACACTCACAGCTGGTGGTGCGTCGTTTCCATTGTTTACTGGTAGTTACTGGTAAACATTTTTCAACCTAAAGAAACTATTACCCGTTTACAGGTCGACCCCCAATTTTTTGCCAAATAATTTGGTCTTAAAAACTTGAACTACACACAGGTATATAAGGTAAATAAGGATATGGGGGGACCAGGGTTTTTTTTGGGGGGCAGCACATATATGCGGATTTTTAACATCCATGGGTATCTCTGTTACGTAACCCCCGCGTATGTTAAGGGCCGACTGTACTGATCTGTGACCAGCAATTTACATTAGCACCAAATACCATGTGCTCCATCTTATCTAAATGGGGTTCTTATAAATACATGACGCAGAAGTATCTTGTTCACCAACCTCACACATTTCATCCCCATGCTCCAAGTCACTTATGAGCTGTCTGAAGTCACCTCAAGTTGAAGACAATTTTCACATACTGCACCTCCAGTAAGGTTACATCTGAGGGGTTCAGAATCATAACCTGCTGTATACTACAGTTAGGGCAACATTTTGTTACCAAGAAAACTGCTTGCTGTAATTGTCTACCAGCTGTCACCTCTTCAACCTTTCTTTCAGAATTTTTTTCCTAAATCACCCTATCTTATGGTATATATATGACACTAACTTTATTATGTTTAGTTAAATTCATTTCAATATTTCTTTACCATATTATCTTTCTCTACATCTATAGCAATGTGTGGTGGCTGAGTGGATACAGCTCATGCTTCCTGTCTTAGGTGTCAACAGTTTGACACTGGGCACTTCCAGTCCACTAAGCTGCAAATGGCTGCCTGACGTTAACATTTGGGGAAGTAAAGACAGTTGTTTATCCTGCAACTTAAATTGTTGTCATTATATTTTTTTTTAATCTTAGTACAGTATAATCAAATTTTATCAGCATTCAGCAAATAAGTACAGTAGTAACATTTATTCAACCATGTATAACCAAATCCATGTTGGATGAAACCCAGCTGTATGGTACTTGTTTTAGATGTGTGTGTATGTATGTGTGAGTATCATGTTGAAGGAACCTGGGAAAAAGATTATAACTGTATCTGTAATGATCAATGTTTACAACTTACCTGTGATGCTCCAGTTGGCTTGCGGTGAATTAATACACTCGTGTCCTTTTGCTTCTTTTGAATGGATTCTGAAGGACAGAAAGGAAACTGAGGTACAGATGTGTATCATTATTATCATCCAGTACAAACTGACACATGGTGTAAAATGTTGGAACACCATTAAGTTTAATTTTCTTACTGCATTAAAAAATACGTACAACACTTTTGATTATCAGTATGATTATTTTAAGAAATAAGTAAATTACATGTACAGTAGGGGGCAGTGAAATTTTGCTCAAAGCTGCACTCTTCAGGCATTGTTCCTTATACATATCTAAGACTCCATGCCAAATTTGAAGCTGATATGTCGAGGTTTAGTCTGCCGCATTTTCTACTGAAATTTTTAAATTTACCTACAGTACTAGCCAAACAGCCGCTGTGGCGGTGCAATGTTCTGTTCAGTGTTTATCAACTTTTTTTTCATATCTCTTATTTCATTTAAGTTGTCTTGTTGCAGATGAGTATGGTGCTATGTCTATATTGATTATCAGCCTTTTCTCATTTCATTTCTCAATGTTGTGTTACTGTACTGTAATGTAGGGGAGACCTGGGTAAGTTGGCGCACTTGAAATTATTCAAATAGTTACCGTTAAGCAGTTCACACCGCAGGATCACCACGTGCTTCCTCAGTGCATAGTTAAGGAGTGTGACGGATATCACCTGGCATGTAATTGTGTTATAAAAGTTCCCAAACGTGAGGTGCAGTTTCTCCTTGACCAGCGAGGTGATAGGAAGATGAAGATTGCAGGGGTTGACATGAAAGTGACGAAGATGTGGGACAGAGTGACGGCAAGAGAGAAGCATGATGCGGACAGAGTTAGGAGACAGCTTGAGCAAAAACATAGATATCTGGTAGCTGGAGATATTCCTTATGTTGAGGATAATTCAGATGATTCAAGAGATATTCCTCTCGTCAATACTGATGCTGATTTTGTCCCTGATCCAAGGGCTCTGACAGACACCAGTTCACAGAACCGGACAAGACTCCCTACACTGGCTGCCGCTTGTGACCGATACTTGATTAGTGATTATGCTGGAGCTGCCATTGCTACTGCCACCTTAACTGACTATGGCATTATCACAAAGGATGACAAGAGTCAGGTTATTGGACCACATAAGCTGCGGGATGCGAGACAAAAATACCGATTTAAGAGGCAAGAAATTGAGATGGCTAGTTTAGATAATTTGACGTCACTCTATTTTGATGGTAAGAAGACCGCCACTCGTGTGATGATAAAGAATGAGAAGACCGAGAAATGGAGTTCGAGGATGATGGTGAAAGATCATTATGTCATCATGGTTGAGCCTGGCAATGAATATCTCACACATGTGACTCCCAAGACTGGACACGGAAAGCAGATTGCCAAAACTATTCACGAGTTTCTGGTGGAGAAAAATCTAACCCAGCAGCCCATTGTGTGTGTTGGTTGTGATGGAACCAATGTAAATGTAGGATCAGAAAATGGAGTCATTCATCATCTTGAAATGTTACTTGGTCACCCGCTCCATTATTTCATATGTCAGCTTCACGGAAATGAGCTGCCTTTCCGCGCAGTTTTTTATCACTATGATGGTAAACCAAGTGGTCCTGAGCATTGGCGTGGTCCCATTGGAAAGCAGATCAAGGAGTCTTTGTCTGAGCTTCCAGTTGTCGCCTTCCAGCCAGTCAGTTTCCCTGATTTCCCTGTGTTTAATGATGAAGTGGAGAAAGATCTGTCCTGGGATCAGAAATACCTGTATAGGATTTGTAAAGGAGTTATCACAGGTGTTGTTGAAGATGACTTGGCTGCTATTGAGCCAGGTCCTCCCTGTGTGTCAAGGTGGAACACCTTATGGAGTAGAATCCTCAGGCTGTATGTAGCAACATCAAGACCCAGCCATGAGTTGAAAAGAATTGTCATTACAATAATAAAGTTCAGTGCTCCAATGTGGTTTTACATCAAGATACACCCTTACGTAACACACGGCTCAAGGAACGTATTCCAGTCCCTGCTATATATGAAACACCTGAATAGTGAGGAGGAGACGATAGTGAAGAAGGCTGTCCAGAGAAATGCATACTTCGCCCACACAGATCAACTTCTTCTTGGTATGTGTGCAGATGAGGACATGACTGTTAGAGAAAAATCTGTCTCAATGATAAGAAAAATTAGAGAGGAGAATCGGCAAAAGGAAGAATGCACTGGCAGATCTGAAGAGGGGGAGGAAGATTCTGATGCTGCTGTTGACGAGAATTTGTTAAACTATACTGATGAGGAGGGTAAAGATGGAGATGGGAATGAGGATGTGCCTCCTGTAGTCAACATGAGAAAGGTGGTGACTCCGAAACTAAAGTGGCAAGCAAAAAACTATCATTCCATGATTAACTGGAGGAATGAACTCAAGACTGAGCCTCCTTACATTGCTTCTCTGTCAAATCTACAGGTTAATGACATTCTTGAGACACCATTAGTGGTGCCCAAGTGGCCAAACAGCACTCAGGCGGTCGAGAGAGGCATAAAAGTGATGACTGAAGCTTGCACTGAAGTGACGGGATACGAATCGAGAGATGGATATATTAGGCAAAGATTATTGTCTAGGAAAATGATGCCAAGGTTCCGCACAAAAAAGAATTTCAATATGAACTTGTAATGATTTTCTATACGGTGTACCTGTAAAATAACATGTGAATTAAATCGATATCACCCATGTAAAATTTATCATTATCCTGGAAAACATTAAATGACACCTAATTTTTGGTATACACTAAAAGTTGACAAAAAGTCGTTCGCGATGCGGCAGGGTAAGTATGCATGAAATGGCATGAAATTTTGCACAGGTGTTTGTTACAGCCATACAAACGATGCCTGAAAAGTGCAGCCTGCAACTCAAATAAAAGTGTTTTTTCCCTGCCCCCTAATGTACAGTATACAGTAATTAAAGACCTCTAATGATTAACTGTAAACAATAAACTAATTTACAAATTAAAGTCAACATCCTATGGGGCACATAGAATATAATGGTTCAAGCTAATTACTATATACAGTGGTCCCTCGGTTAACGAGCGCCTCGGTTAACGAGATTTCGGTTAACGAGATTTCGGTTAACGAGTTACCTTCCATAAGATTCTTAACTTCGGTTAACGAGCAATCCCTCGATTAACGAGTTTCTTACGAGCCAACCTGAACATGATTTCGCTTGCATTTGGCGGTCCACCAGCTGTAGTATTAGTCAGCTAATACAATAATCGGTTCTAGGGCTTAAATTCCTTACCATTTTAGCAAATATCAAGAAGTTTATACTACTGTATTCAATAATTTTAAAATTTTAATATTAAATTTTTTACTCATTTTAACAATTATAATTGTTGAACATAATTGAAGGTAATGGAACTAGTTTTAAGCGTGCCATCCAGCCTCTCAACACACCATACAGGCGTCAGCCTTTGTGTCTTTTCAGTGGAGGTAACATCTTACTTGAGACTCTCCAACTAAATGCTGTTTTTCTGTTTTTGCAAGCAAATTATTGGTCATTTTGAAATTTATTTTACATATTGACAATATATAATGCAGTGCAGTGTTGATTTAAAGAAAATAATCTTGAATTGCACCAAGAGAACTAAAATTTTATGGGTGAAATGGTGCCATGGGGTGACTTCTCTTCTCCCTTCTCCACCCCCATTCTAATTCCCATCATCATCATCGAGGAGCCTTCTACATACACACCTCAAAGTAAGTGTACTTTTCTACCTTTTTTGTTGAATTTAGGCAATTTTCGGTGAGCTGGAACCAATTACCCAAAAACCCATTGAAACAATGGTTTCGGTTAACGAGTTTTTCGGTTAATGAGCAACCTTCTAGAACGGATTGTGCTCGTTAACCGAGGGACCACTGTACAGTGTTGTACACTACTGTACGTACAGTGATCCCTTGTGAACTGCAGGGGTTACATCAAAGAATTCTCCCGAGGTTGGCATGAGCTGGGTCTAATGAGGATAGAGGGATTAAGGGAAGAGACTCATAAAAGACTTAGCTACTAAGACTCGATAACATACAGCTCACGGTTTAAAATAGGTACAGGGTGTATGCATTACTGTATGTATAAACAATTTATTATTCTGTATAAAAATGTTTAGAGTACACTGTGCAGGTATCGGAAAAAAGTAAGGGAAATGTGTAATGGAGTAATCCCCCTTTTATGTTATGCACCTGGCCTCAACGCTCTTCCCCGGAGAAGAAAATAAAACTATGCATATTATGTTTATTCAGAACTATACAAGATCTTCAAACACAAATATGTGTGATTTCTATTTTTTTTAACATGAAATCATACTGTGTTATTTTTCCATCATTTAATAAATATCCAAATACCTAGTCAGATACTGTAGTAAGATGATATTCTGGCAGACAATAAAATGTGGCTGAATAGGCCAGATACTGGATATTCCTGGATATCTTGTCCATCCCTAATACTGTATATGTATACAGTATAACGCTATTAGAACTGTACCGTACTCCGATACTTACCTGGATGCGAACTGGTAAATGATGTCTGAGTATTTCCATGTGACTGTAAAGGTTTTGTATTTGTTTCAGCATCTATCAGTTGTGGCCTCTTTTGTTGATTCCTAACCTTTTCTTGTAAGGAGGCCAGTGCATCTTCTACAATATCCAAGGCAGCAGTCATGCCTGAAGATGTTTAATATGATTAATACATTATGATGAAACTATGATCAGCCTTTGCCACATCTGCAAATTCACTTTATGATCCCTTCTGTCTTCATTAAGAGTGTAAGCAGCTTGGTTACTTTTCAATAGTTTCAGTTTCCATTTCTCTATCTCTGTTGTTTTAGTCCTCTTCTGCTTTTGTGCTGAGTGGATCAAGGGGTATTGTACAGTAAATAACTCTCTAAGTACTACAGTGCTTCACCTTGCGGAGTTTCCCCCCCTGTCGGCCAACTCAAGTACTACACGTCTACCCTCTGTGGTGGAAACCAGCAACTCTCAAACCCGAGTGACAGGAGCACCTCCCATTCCATCTGGGAATTACCCTCAACAGTCATCCTAATTCTGTTGGTTGTAGCACTTGTGAGTACGTTAGCCCCCCACTATTATAATGTTCTTAGATCTTCCTTTTTCACACCTCAGTGACCCTGAGTTTTTACTGTTCCTTAATCAGTATCAATGTCCCCACAATAATGATACTAGTGTCATTCCCTTAGATGTGCTAGATCGTATGTTTTACACCCCATTTACCCATGGTTCTACAAAACTCACTGGGTTACACCAACCCCAACTGTAACTATTACTTTCCTGACTCTCCCGAGTTTAGTTCTAGTCTCCTACTACCTCATTCCTTCTCCTTGATTAGCCATAACATCAGCAGTATTCCCCTTCATCTAGATACCTTTTTAGATCAGTGTTTATCTTCTATTGCCCACAAATTTGATGTAGTACTTGGATTCTGTGAGACCAAACTCACTAACGATATTGACCATTTGTATAACATTCCTAATTATAATAGACACTGCGTCAACACGTCATGACACAGTGGTGGTGTCGCCCTATATGTTGATATCAAGTATAACACTACTGTAAGAGATGATTTAAAGGTTCAGGAGGAGTTCATGGAGAGTGTTTTCATTGAATTACGTAACGACACACGAAATATCCTAGCAGGGATAATCTACAGAAGACCCCACACTAATGTAAGGAATTTTCTTGATAAATTTTTGGAGCTTATTTCTATCATAAGTTCAGAGGAAAGACTGCTACATCACAGGAGATTTCAACCTTGATCTATTAAAATCAGAAACCGACACCTCAGTATTAGACCTTCTTGCTACCTGTCATTCTAAACTTTTCTTCAACACTATAACCAAACCCACTATAGTAACTGCCACCTCTGCCACTGTGATAGATCATATCTGGACTAGCAACACTCCTAACAACCTAGCAAGTGGAATTATTTATAACAATATCTCAGATCACTTCCCAGTTCTTGCCATGTATAAAACAGCCACAAGACCTGAAAGGTCTAGTAGTCTCAATTCAATACAGAGACTACTGCACCGACAACATGCTCCTTTTTGAAAACAACCTAATGAATGCTAACTGGGATCTTGTCTATGCCTACAACAACCCTAACGTGAACAGCAGTAACTTTTCTTGCATCTTTAATGCTTGCTTTGATAAATGCTTCCCCCTCAAGACTAAGTCAGTGAAAACTGTATCCATTTCCAAACCCTATATCACAAGCGAAATTAAGATAATGATAAAGGAAAAACACAAACTCCAAAGGAAATTTGCAAAAAGACCCATAACTTTCGGTGATGCTTACCGAAGTATCAGAAATAGAGTAACACAAGGAGTTAGAAATACCAGACGTAACTATTATACAAATAAGCTCCAGTCAGCATCAGGCGACAGTAAGAAAACCTGGAATGTCATAAATTCTATTCAGAACAGGAACATTCAGCCTTCGGCCCCCCACTCAGCTTTTATGATAAACGATTCAGTTATAACGGAACCCTGCCGCATTGCCAACCACTTCAATGAATATTTTATTAATGTTGGCAAAAATCTTGCAGAGCTTCCCTGATCACCATGAGGAATTTGGAGCCTACCTGCAAAACAAACAGCAAAATGAACTATTCTTATCCCCTGTCACAGCATTTGAGAAACTGATTTTCACCAAAAATAAATGTCATAATCATCTAAAACACCAAGAAAAGTAGCGAAAAAATATATTTTTCATGGGAAAAAAGTTAAAACTAAACTAGGTCTACATACTAGCCTAACCTAACAGGCGGCGTCCAATTTAGCTGGGGGGGGGGGGTGGGCTTCACTCACCGGACCCCCCAATGACGCCGTATTCCTTAGGTTGCGTGTCACCATAACATCAAATTTCCAACGGAAACATTATAGAAGAAATACTTTTTATTTAGTTTTCTCTACCTAACCATATATGACCCAATATTCAGATCCCTGGTGATATTTTTCCAACATTGACCCAACAAATAAATCACGAATATATGGTTTATTTTTGGAATGCCGCTCAATTGAAGTACCTGTAAAATATTTCGTTTCTGGAAGAGCTCTACAGTATTATATGGTAAGAGAAAAAAGGTGATGAGTGGTTAACGAGAAAATTACCATTTTATCGTTATCAAAGTTAACAACTATTGACTTTCTTACTAACTAATGTTCTTTGACAAACAGCAAATGCACAAAATATATTCATGAAAGCTATTGGAAAATTCTGAAGCTGTTTGCTCCCATCTGAAATTTTATCATTACGATATGTCAACAATGAAGTCACAAAAACATGTAAACATCCGATAGCCTAATCTAAAATACATATAACTGTATAGTTAAGCACCAGAATACAAAAGTATTACCTCTTCTATCTGAATAGGGAAGAATTTTGGCCATCACGTCACAAAAGGAACATAATTATAAGAGAGTGAAGGTGAACCACGTCAAGTAAACAAAGTTCAAAGCCCCGCCAACAACCCTCCCCAATGGTGCCCTCACCACACCTACTTCATTTGAAATACTGAAATCGGCAATAGTTTCTTCATATCTTCAATGGTAGAAATTTTCTTAAATATTCAATGACAGTAATATATATTTTGTTATTAAGAACCTACCGCATATCTAGAAGTGAAAAGTGATAGAGTAATGTTGGGAACATGACCAGCAAGGAATATCAAGAGGAAGTATCAGTTATAGTTGCATGCTTGTCTTTGAGATGGCGCTGGCGGTGGATATGACTCCAAACACCGGCACCGTCATATTGTTTGCAGGAAAAACAGAGGAAATGATAGAGAGCCAGTGTTTCATTTCTTCTGAAAAGACAGGAAAGGTGAGTTCTTATTTTCGTGGTTGATTCATAAGCAGTACCGGTTATATTATAGTTTAATTTACCATTTCACTACCTTTCTTATTAGCCAATTTGGTGGCAGGTCTCTTATTTGTTACTGTGTTGTGAACTTGATTTTCCAGTGGCACCCAACAAGTAACCCCTCCCTTTATAGTTGTTTCTAATCTAATTTACCTCTTTTCAAATGTAAAATTAGAAATGTAGGAGACTAATAGAATAACAGTGAGAACACTATGTTTACGTTTCTACGTTCAATATAGTAATCCGCGTGCGGCAGACCGCCAGTGTATGAAGCGAAATCCTAAGTTTAATTGGCTGTGCCTTTTTCCTGTTCATTTCCGACAAAAGTGTGTTGCATAATTACCTGGAAAGAGGAGGTAAACTGCCCCAAAATAAGCCTAAAAAGGGGTTACTCAGTGGGTCTTAAATGTCAATTTAACCAGTCATTTGAAAGCACATATCCACACGCATTTATGTTAAATTTAGGTTATCGTTATGGCCGTCATTCAGTACCAATACTGGAGCAAATACCCCTTTAACCTCTGCACTGTCCTTCCAATGAATATCACAAGGAACTTAAACTCGCTTATAATTTCTTTAGTTCTCGACGCTCATGCCATCTATTGGACAAGCCAGAAATCATAGAATATGGTCATTGTGTTTTCAATGATTTTTTTTTATTTAATTTATCGGTAACTGGTATTTCCCGTTGATTTTTTATTCTCTCTACCATCGGCATTCATTTAATTATTATTTATTTTTATTATTTATCATTTCACCACGTATCACTTTATTAACAACTCGGGCAGGTTGGTCTTGTTATGACTTTTTGTTCAGTGTCAGTACACAGGAAACTGGAGTACCAGGGAATGGTTGTGCACTATCTACTGTCCTTCCACCCAGGCGAAGTCGAGCAACACCATATATATATATATATATATATATATATATATATATATATATATATATATATATATATATATATATATATATATATATGTATATATACACACATATATGTGTGTGAGTGTGTGTGTGAGCAACCTACCAGCTTTTAAACTTTCTTCAGTTCATGAATAGCTATGAATAGCTTTTGCCTATTTCATCCCGTTATTGAAGATCAGTGATCTTCGTAATAATGTACCGAAGGGAGTAACGGCCATATTATTAAACAACATCTACCCCTTCCGACGAAGAATCTTTTCGAAGGTATTGTTCCTTCAAGCGGTATTTTTAACTTTTACTTTTTACTTTTATCCTCTTCGCAACTGATCGGCTCGCTAACCGACCGGGCGATCGGTCACGTCTCTGTCACGCGCTGTTGGCATATACTGGGCATGCACCGGCTCCTGAATGTACCTGAACCCGCTCCAGTGTTGGTCAAGTCTTGTCTTGAAAGAGCTCACACTCGGTGCCGTCACAACACTCTGGGAGATTGTTCCAAGAGTTTACAACCCTCACTCAGAAAAAATTTGCCCTTACAGTTTTCTGGACTTGCGGCTTCTTCAATCTTGAGCTGTGACCCCTTGTGGGGCGAGCGTCCGCCAGCTCCAAGTAAGGACACTCAACTGAGTAGTGCCCCCTGAGATGCTTATACACCTCAACTAGGTCCCCCCTTGCCCGTCTGTAGTATAAGCTAGGCAAGTTCAGGCTCTCCAATCTCTCAGGGTAGCTGAGGTGCCGAAGTGCAGGCACCAGTTTGGTGGCCCTCCTTTGAACATTTTCAACCAACTGACAGTCCCTAGCATATATCGGGGACCAGATGGGGTGACAGTGCTCCAGATGGGGAAGCGCTTCACTCCTGAAGATCGTCACGAGGGACGGACCGTCTAGATATCTGAACGACTTTCTTATAAGACCCAATAATTTATTTGCCTGATTTACCTTCTTCTTGCAATGGCCCGAGAACTTCAGCTCATTGTCAACATACACACCTAGGTCCATCTCACATACAGTCTCAACTAGTACATTTTCTTCATCCCGTTGGGACATATGGTACGCCTCCTTACCGTTGGTACGCCCCAGGTGCATCCTCTTACACTTCGTGACATTGAATCTCAGCAGTCATTCCTTCGACCATTCCTGGAGCCCACAGAGGTCCTTCTGCAACTCTTCACAGTCAACTTGGTTCTTAATTTCCCGAAATAACTTAGCGTCATCGGCAAACATTTGTATGGAGGAGTGTACAAAGTCAGGCATGTCATTTATGAACCAAACAAACAACAGCGGGCCCAATACACTGCCCTGTGGTACCCCACTTGTGACAGGTACGGATGACGATTACGTGCCATTAATCACCACACACTGCTTGCGGTCATGTAGAAAATCTTCTATCCATGCTAGGACATTTCCCCGAATTCCGTACCCTTCCAGTTTGATTTTCAGCCTTTCATGGGGAACGCTGTCGAAAGCTTTGGCAAAATCTAGGTAAATATTGTTGAAATTACCACCCCGTTCCAGAATATGGGTCCAAATATCCAATACCTTGAGCAATTGTGTTAAGCAGGAGCGCCCATGCGTAAAACCGTGTTGGCAATCCTTTACAAGATTGTTTCGTATTAGATGTTCCATTGCGGCATCTCTCATAATACTCTCAAGTACTTTACATATTATGCTGGTCAGGCTCACCGGTCTATAGTTGTTCGTGGAGTGCCGATCGCCCTTCTTGAAGATAAGACTCACATAAGCCACTTTCCATTCACTGGGGACCGTTTGTTCATCCAGGTATTTACAAAACAGGATCTTCAGGGGCGCTGCAAGCTCGTTGCACAACTCTCTTAGTACTCTAGGATGCACCATGTCGAACCTCTTCCACTTCGTGCGGGATGACTTTTTTAGGTCTGGTAATACAGTCCTCTTCGCTGATGCATTATGGGTCCTGTGTGTGTTTGTTTACCTTTGTGTACCCATCAATCAATTTTATTGATGAGGACCACAGTTACTTTGCTGAAAGCATGCCTTCTAAAATTCCAGGGCAAGATTTATGCTTCACAAATCCTGTACCAGAGCGTGCCTCCAGCAGAGGCGATGACTTACCATTGCAAGACCCAAATTTACAACCTAGCCCCCAACTCTCTCGTTTGCTGGTGCGGACGACACTTGGGGCGGTTGAAGCTTAATTTTATATTGCATTAATATTTATTCCCACCCAGTTGGTTACCAACTTTTTGTTCTGTATAGCAGTAATTGACTGAATAAATAGGTTGGTTATTGACTTTGTAATGTCAAATTTCCTTTCTTATTTTATTTTAACTCACTATATACTAATTTACATATTGACATTGTTGCAGAATCCTGATTATAAATACAGTATTGTTTGAGTTAACAAAAGTGTGATATGTACAAAATAAATACAATTTACAGAGAAAAATGTTTGTTTCCTAAAAATATTACAAATGCCATCATTTTTTAAAAGTATGAATTTTTCGTATATGCATGTTGAAAGTCTATTGAAATGTGAGTTTTTTACACTTATTGCAAATTACATATGAACATAATAGAATAAAGAACTGTGTATAAATACAGTAACTCCATATGGACCTTAACATATGCTGTACAGTATATAGATAACACATTAAAAAATCAACTCCTGTCTTTATATCATGAATGTAACTACAGGTATTGCAAACAGCCAAAACCTTGTACTGTAGCTCTATACAGTATTACATAGAGGCATTACTATACCTCTGGACTGCTGAGACCTTAACGTACATAAATGACCCTCCTTGTCCAGTTAAAAGGATGGACAACTAAAAGTAATTCTCTGTATAAATAATATTCAAAAGTGGTCTCTGATGATTTGTTGCCTTTTAATTCTGCCTTGCACATTTATTTAATCTATACTGTATTTGGGTTTATATGCAAAGCATCCATTTCTTCTTCTACCTCTTCTGGTAATAAGACCCTAGTCATTATGGCTATATTGTGATGCACAAATGATGAAACAATTATAGCTTTGGTGGTGTTGAGCTTTGTCCTAATAGTTGATCCTAAATAGGCAAACCGCCTCTTAAGAACCCCAAAAGCTTTTTCAATGGTATTTCTTGTTATGTGACTTCTGTTGTAGGCCTCTCATGATGATAACGAGGATTTAATACTGGAGTCAACAAATACTTCCTGCAGGGATAACCACTGTCACCAAGGAGATGTCCAGGCATCAAGCCTTCTTCAATTGTGGCACAAATTAGACCATTTTAAAAAATCCTGCTGTCATGTACACTACCAGGCCAACGAGAAACATTATAAAATAAGAAGTCTGGTCCACAGATAGCCTGAACATTAATTGAAAAGAACCCCTTCCTACATTGAAAGACTTCAGGGTTGTTGCATGTTGGCCTTAAAATTGCTAAATGAGTACAATCTATGGATCCAATGACTCCCGGCATTGTAGCAATATTATAAAAGGCCTGTACTGTTTTGAGTAAATTATTGCCAGCAGGAAATTTTATAAACTGTTCACTAAGGCTGGCTATTGCTCTCGAAACACTTTCAAGATACAGACTGACACAGGCTTGAGACACATCATAACAGTCTCCAATTGCTATTTGATGGCTTCCAGTCGCCATGCAACGTATTGCTAATAGAACTTGTAGGTTTGGAGGAGCAGGACACCCTGGAAAGAAATCATTGTTTTCAGAGAA